TTTGGTTGATTAATATACTAAATCAAAGGACTTGTTTATTTTATTAAAAAATAACCTTCCAGGTGCTTTATTATGAATATTTTTGACTTACTAGTATAACCTAAGGAACACTGTCCAATTAAAAGTACTTAAATTGAAAAGCACTTTGCTATGCTATCTATTGTTAATTTTTCATTATTAATCAAGTATTTTAAATCTTACAGATCACAAAATTCTTCTAAAAATTATTGTCCTTTTTCATTATTGTTATCAATATTTTAGAGAAAATGGAAAAATTCTTTTGTATTAATATTATTAATTCTCAGATTATAAATTTATTAAGCTATTTGTTAATTGTATTCTTTTTTATAACTTCTTTTTGGTTTAGCCAATTATTCAATTGCTTATGATTTATTATTTGCAATGAAATAATCTATCAAAGCAATAAAAAATGTTGCTATTATATTTTTTCCTAGATATTGCCATTATTAAAATTATTTTAGTTCTTAAAACTATTATTTATTAATCTATGGAATTAATCCTACTTCATATATTCCAAGCTTCATTTAATATTATAAATAACATTTTATAATATAATTAATTTTATTATGATATTTCATCATATTTGAGCAGAATTAATGAAATATCATCCAAGTTCATTAAAAACTAATAAAACTATGAGTACAAGTATAAATTAAAAGGGGATATTATATTTTCATAAAATTCGAGAATTATAAACTTTAATGTTTAAGATTAAGAAATAAGAATTAAGGATATTTATTAAAATGAATAGCATTTTAAGAATATTGAATGATGTAGTGTCTTATTTTGATTTCTATTTTGTTTTATAAAATATTATATAGAAATTTCCAAATTCTGATTTGATAAGAGTAGGTGATTCATGAGTGAGTTGAGAATATTTATGAAGACAAGTGTATTTGATAAGGAAAGATAAATAAATATAATTTATGGCAACAAAGGAACACAGTCTTTATAAATTAGTAAGCAAAGATTAAGCTGAAGCATTTGCATGGTCTTTTGAGGGTCCAAATACAGAGGCAGTCCTCTATCCATTTTAATTCCCTCCCCTTAGACCAGATGAAGTTAGAATTCAATAGACATATTTTGGTTTATGCTATACAGATTGTAAATTGTATGATTTATTTTTAAGGTCATCTTGTTAATTAAGATTGGTTCCCAATTAGTTATCCAAGTGTTCCTGGACATGAAATCTTAGGTCATATAGTATAAAAAGGAGACTAAGTAACACAATTTTAAATTGGTGACTTGGTTGGAGCAGGATTTATAAGAGATAGTTGTGGAAAATGCAAATAATGTATTTTAGGAAATGATTAATTGTGTGGATAAGTTGGTAATGAACATTTAATTCCAATTCCAAAATTCGGTGGATTTGCTACTCATGTCTAATTACCAGCAAAATGGACATTCCCAATTCCAAATACAATTCCATAACATCTTGCACCTCCTCTTTTGTGTGCAGGTATTACAGTATATGCTCCACTTAAAAGACATTTTGGAGCCAATAAAAATGTTGGTATCTTAGGAATAGGTGGTCTTGGACATTTAGCAATTAAATTTTCTGCTGCTTTAGGCATGAGAACAACAGCTATTTCTACATCAGCAGATAAAGAAGAAGAGGCAAGATCATATGGTGCTACTGATTTCATTTGTACTAAAAATCAAGAATAGATGGTTAAATCATAAGGAAAATTTGATATGATTTTAAGTTGTGCTAGTGCTAATACAGTTGATGAATTCATTGCTTATACAAATTTACTCAAAAATGGAGGTGATTTTGTTATGGTTGGTATCCCTGCACTTACAAAAGTTGAACTCCAATTACCATTTTTTGCTATGGTTGTAAGATAAATTTCTTTTGTTGGATCTCTTGTTGGATCAAGACAAGTATATTTAAATATTAAGGTTTTTAGGAAAACTATGAAATGATTGAGTTTGCCAATAAACATAAGATATATCCTACTTGTGAGTAATTCGAGTTTGAAAATTTCAAAGGTGCTTATGATAAATTGTTAAATGGAAGACCCAAATATAGATGTGTTGTCAAAGTTGGCAATGCTCCAGAAACACTCAAATAATGAGAGTATTATATAAAGAATCAAATTAAATTATTATATTTCTCTCTCTCTCTTTTTTTTGTATTTAGATATATTAAAATATTGATATATATATATTTTAATAAGTTTTAAATAAAATTAATAATCAATTTTTCTTTCTTGGTTATTTACAAATATAATCTTTCAATTATANAGAATATTTATGAAGACAAGTGTATTTGATAAGGAAAGATAAATAAATATAATTTATGGCAACAAAGGAACACAGTCTTTATAAATTAGTAAGCAAAGATTAAGCTGAAGCATTTGCATGGTCTTTTGAGGGTCCAAATACAGAGGCAGTCCTCTATCCATTTTAATTCCCTCCCCTTAGACCAGATGAAGTTAGAATTCAATAGACATATTTTGGTTTATGCTATACAGATTGTAAAATGTATAATTTATTTTTTAGGTCATCTTGTTAATTAAGATTGGTTCCCAATTAGTTATCCAAGTGTTCCTGGACATGAAATCTTAGGTCATATAGTATAAAAAGGAGACTAAGTAACACAATTTTAAATTGGTGACTTGGTTGGAGCAGGATTTATAAGAGATAGTTGTGGAAAATGCAAATAATGTATTTTAGGAAATGATTAATTGTGTGGATAAGTTGGTAATGAACATTTAATTCCAATTCCAAAATTCGGTGGATTTGCTACTCATGTCTAATTACCAGCAAAATGGACATTCCCAATTCCAAATACAATTCCATAACATCTTGCACCTCCTCTTTTGTGTGCAGGTATTACAGTATATGCTCCACTTAAAAGACATTTTGGAGCCAATAAAAATGTTGGTATCTTAGGAATAGGTGGTCTTGGACATTTAGCAATTAAATTTTCTGCTGCTTTAGGCATGAGAACAACAGCTATTTCTACATCAGCAGATAAAGAAGAAGAGGCAAGATCATATGGTGCTACTGATTTCATTTGTACTAAAAATCAAGAATAGATGGTTAAATCATAAGGAAAATTTGATATGATTTTAAGTTGTGCTAGTGCTAATACAGTTGATGAATTCATTGCTTATACAAATTTACTCAAAAATGGAGGTGATTTTGTTATGGTTGGTATCCCTGCACTTACAAAAGTTGAACTCCAATTACCATTTTTTGCTATGGTTGTAAGATAAATTTCTTTTGTTGGATCTCTTGTTGGATCAAGACAAGTATATTTAAATATTAAGGTTTTTAGGAAAACTATGAAATGATTGAGTTTGCCAATAAACATAAGATATATCCTACTTGTGAGTAATTCGAGTTTGAAAATTTCAAAGGTGCTTATGATAAATTGTTAAATGGAAGACCCAAATATAGATGTGTTGTCAAAGTTGGCAATGCTCCAGAAACACTCAANAAGTATAAATTAAAAGGGGATATTATATTTTCATAAAATTCGAGAATTATAAACTTTAATGTTTAAGATTAAGAAATAAGAATTAAGGATATTTATTAAAATGAATAGCATTTTAAGAATATTGAATGATGTAGTGTCTTATTTTGATTTCTATTTTGTTTTATAAAATATTATATAGAAATTTCCAAATTCTGATTTGATAAGAGTAGGTGATTCATGAGTGAGTTGAGAATATTTATGAAGACAAGTGTATTTGATAAGGAAAGATAAATAAATATAATTTATGGCAACAAAGGAACACAGTCTTTATAAATTAGTAAGCAAAGATTAAGCTGAAGCATTTGCATGGTCTTTTGAGGGTCCAAATACAGAGGCAGTCCTCTATCCATTTTAATTCCCTCCCCTTAGACCAGATGAAGTTAGAATTCAATAGACATATTTTGGTTTATGCTATACAGATTGTAAAATGTATAATTTATTTTTAAGGTCATCTTGTTAATTAAGATTGGTTCCCAATTAGTTATCCAAGTGTTCCTGGACATGAAATCTTAGGTCATATAGTATAAAAAGGAGACTAAGTAACACAATTTTAAATTGGTGACTTGGTTGGAGCAGGATTTATAAGAGATAGTTGTGGAAAATGCAAATAATGTATTTTAGGAAATGATTAATTGTGTGGATAAGTTGGTAATGAACATTTAATTCCAATACCAAAATTCGGTGGATTTGCTACTCATGTCTAATTACCAGCAAAATGGACATTCCCAATTCCAAATACAATTCCATAACATCTTGCACCTCCTCTTTTGTGTGCAGGTATTACAGTATATGCTCCACTTAAAAGACATTTTGGAGCCAATAAAAATGTTGGTATCTTAGGAATAGGTGGTCTTGGACATTTAGCAATTAAATTTTCTGCTGCTTTAGGCATGAGAACAACAGCTATTTCTACATCAGCAGATAAAGAAGAAGAGGCAAGATCATATGGTGCTACTGATTTCATTTGTACTAAAAATCAAGAATAGATGGTTAAATCATAAGGAAAATTTGATATGATTTTAAGTTGTGCAAGTGCTAATACAGTTGATGAATTCATAGCTTATACAAATTTACTTAAAAATGGAGGTGATTTTGTTATGGTTGGTATCCCTGCACTTACAAAAGTTGAACTCCAATTACCATTTTTTGCTATGGTTGTAAGATAAATTTCTTTTGTTGGATCTCTAGTAGGATCAAGACAAGTATATTTAAATATTAAGATTTTTAGGAAAACTATGAAATGATTGAGTTTGCCAATAAACATAAGATATATCCTACTTGTGAGTAATTCGAGTTTGAAAATTTCAAAGGTGCTTATGATAAATTGTTAAATGGAAGACCCAAATATAGATGTGTTGTCAAAGTTGGCAATGCTCCAGAAACACTCAAGTAATGAGAGTATTATATAAAGAATCAATTTAAATTGTTATATTTCTCTTTTTTTATAATATACATATTAATTTATGATATTTTTAAATAAATAAACAAATAATCAACTCTTTTTAATTTTTAATGAACATATAATATCCTTTAATTAAATCAGTCTCTATTTCATTTCAATAAAAAACTATTAGAATAGAAAGATCAATTAAACTAATATTGAAAATCCAATAAAAAATAATATTAGCCATCCTATGAAATACTTTTGATCAAAAGAGAATATAAAACTTACATCATGAATAGCCAGTAAAACTGTAATAACAATGATAATGAAAATACAAGAGTCAGGTACAGCTGTTTATATAAGTATACTTCTATTTTCAAATGGATTTTAATAAATAATTAATGCTAAATTTAAGAAGCATGTTAAACAACATAATGATGTTTACAATAAAGGCACAGCATAAAAATATATTGTAAAAAATATAAATAAAGCTTTTCTCATTAAATTAACATAACAATAATTCCTAGCCAATTATTGTTTAGTATCTATTCCTTCATATAATGAAGAATAATAACTTGAAAAGATTTTATTTTCATATAAAATTTCATGTTAAGAACAAACAAAAGAGTATAATTTAAACACCAAATAAATAAAAATAATTCCAACCACAGCTAAAACAATATTCAATTTGATGATAGTATATTCTTAATTGGAAGTATATTATAATTAAAGAACACAAGCCAAACAAATATCCAAAAATACTAATCCAATTATTTAAAGCAATTTAGCTCTAAAATTCTCTATAAAACTTAGAAGTTCTTTATATATAGCATTTATTAAAGATGGCATTTTTTTTGGTTATATATCTAGTATTTTTGTTGGCAACTTCTATGGAGAAGTTATTTCAACACTCTATTTAAGTTGATTCACTGAAAAAATTTCAATTTTATGTGATTTTATAAAATTTGGTTCATATTTATTTTTAATAATTGATACTATTCCACTTGCACAGATATAGGCTAAAATTGCAAGTAAAATTAGTCCACAAAATAATTAAATATTATTTAGAAATAATGGATTCACATCTTTTTCAGCAAATTTAGGAGGTGCTTCAAAATAATAAGGATCATCTGGTGAATTTAATGAAATAATATCAGGAATATTAATTATATCACCCCATTAAAGTTAATTAAAAAATATTTTAACATTTAAAGGATAATCCACATTAAGAAAGTAAAAATTGTTAATCCAAGTCAATATATCGAGAATTGTCCAGAAAAAATTGAATCCCCCTAAAAGAATAGTTAAAGGTCCAATTAATTAAAGTAGGAATGTGAATGTTGAAGAAGCTGATGCTATGCTTTAAGCTTGTGCTTTTTAATCTTCATTATAATACACCAATCTTCTCGGAGTTATAATAATCTCTCTTGTATCTTCTTCTAGAATTCTTGTAACATTTTCCTTTAATGGAACTATTAAATGAATAAGATTAGATTCTAATATTGTTTTAAAGAATTTAAATTATATTTAACAACCCTAACTTATTGATGTGTAATTTTCTTTTATTGTAATATTATATTAGAATTCATTTGATTAAAATTATTCTATCCAAATTTATACTTTATCACAAAGACCTTCTATCTTGATATCCTCAAAATTCAAATCAAAATCATTAGCAGTAGTTGAATTAGAATATGTAAAAGTAACTTATTTTTTAGGTGGCAAAATACATACACCATCTTTACAAATGAATTCTTTTTCAATTTCACATTTAGAATTGCATCCATCTTTATCAGTTTGATTACCGTCATCACATTATTCTTTACCTGCTATGATATTGTCTCCACATTTAGTAACACATGATTTTAATTGTTTATTTAAATATAACCCAGATATATTATCACATTTCTAACAACCATCAGTTATGCATTTAGTGCAATTATTTGGAGTATTTTCACATTCCTCACATTTTTCTGAACATTAATTACATGAATTATCTTTAAGAAAATATCCAATTTTACATTTTAAACATTCTATTTTGTTAATGTTTTATTTACAATCATCACAATTTTCTTAGCATTTATAACAATAACTTAATAATGATTTATCTTCTTCACATTTATAAGAAGGATCAATTTTACAGAATGTACAACCATCTCTAACAACATCATTTTTGTCATCACATAATTCTTCACCATTTTTTATACCATCTCCACATTTGGTTTCACATTTCTGTCCATTTAAATAATAACCAACTTAACATTCAAAACATTCACCTTTCTAACAATTTGAACACATTTTATCACACTAATATTTACATTCATAACATCCATCATAAGGAATATTATTCTAATCTTCACATTATTCACTACCTAACACAATTCCATCTCCACATCTAGTTATACAATTATTAGTGAAACTATCATAATACAATCCTATCAAACCTTCACATTATTTTAGTTCTTCACAAATTCCCTTCGATTAAACTAGTACTAGAGAAGATTCGCATTATATACATTTTCCAAATTAACAATTTAAACATTCCATTTGACATTGATATTTGCATTAAAAACAACCATCATATCTCAATTCATTACCATCATCACATACTTCATCACTTGCCTATATTTTATCTCCACAAACAGAATTACATGAATTACTTACAATATCCAAATAGAATCCTTCTTAACAATGAGTACATACTCCATAAGCACACTTTTTACAATATTGAGGACATTAGTATTTACAATTTAAACAAGAATCTAATGAGTATTAACTACCATCATCACACTCCTCTTCTTATACTATTATACCATCACCGCATTTAGGAATACATTTATTTCCATAATATCCCTATTCACATTCTATACATTACTATAGTAAGCATTTTTTACAATTTCTTGAGCATTTGTTCATATTATACTCTATAATACAATTATTGGTTATCAAATCTAAGTATCCAAACTAACATTATATACATTAGTTATTATTTAACAATTTACAATCAGGTTATTCATAAATTACAAGCATAGGAGGAGTTGGTTTACATGAATTATTTTATTAATCTAATTCAAAATAATTTTAACAAGATAAACATATTCCATTTTAACATTCATTACAAAATTGAGCACATTAGAATTTACATTAAAAACACCCATCATAATTAATTGAATTTCCGTCATCGCATTCTTCATTTCCTACTATCATTAAATCTCCACAAATAGATTCACAATAAAATAATCCTAATTTCCATCCTTCTTTACATTAAAAACAAACACCATCAATACAACTAATACAATTAGGATCACAAGTTTTTTCACAATAATTATTACAACTGTCATCATTAGTAAGATTCTAATCATCACACTATTCTAAATCTTCAATTATACCATTTCCACATGTTTAATTACAGCTGAAATCATACTCACAATCAATTTTTACGCATTAATAATATTCATTCAAATAATAACCACTGCTACAAAATTAACATACTCCTTATTAACAATTAAGACAAGTTTCTTAGCATTTCGATAAACATTTATTTTCAATTAAATTAAATTCTTAAGAACACTGGAAGCATTTACCCTATATACATTCAATACAATTATCAACACATTCATATTTGCATTAATAACAACCATCAAACTATTGCATATTCTAATCGTCACAATCTTCCCATCCAGTTATGTATCCATCACCGCAGGATGATTCACAAAATAATAAATCTTAATTGAAGTAAAAACCTGTTGAACATTCCTATATTAAAATACAGTTATTATTTTCTAAATAATATTATTATGCACATTATAAGCATAAGCCATTATTACAATATACACAACCTTCTTGGCATTTAAATACACAATCACCATAATCATTTAATTAATATTCATTCTCACAAATTAAACATTATCCCATTAAGTTTAGCTTACATTCAGGTGTGCATTATGTATCATTCTCTTAACCATAACAAATACCATCTTAAAGAAAGTAATTTGTTTCACATTCTTAACATTAACCCATTATACAATTAATACATTATTAATTACAAGAGTATTTACAATAATAACAACCATCATATTGTAAGTGATTATTATCTTCACAATCCTCATCATGAGCTACAATTCCATCTCCACAATGAGATTCACAGATGTTGGAATATTAGTTAAAATAATATCCATGTTAACATTCATAACAAAGATTTAAAAAATATAATTAGCATAACTTTGGAGCTTCATACATACAGCTTAAGCAATCCTGATCATTAATTTCGCACTATTCATCATGTGATAGTATTCCATCTCCACAAAAGGAAATACATTAAAAGTTTTCATCCAAATAATATCCGCTCTAACAAGTTATACAATTGTTTTCATCACATTATTTGCATTATTCAAAACATTGATTGCAATATAAATCTGGAGATACCTTAAGATAATATTAACAAAAAGTTAGAGGTACAACATTTAATTTACACTTCTATTCTACTTTATCAAAGTATGCATAATTTTCACATTTGACACAAATCTAGTCAATTTAAATCTGGCAGTTATCAATTACAATAGCAGTATTCTCTAGAGTTTTAATACAATATTATTGATTCAAAGAAAAATAATAACCATCTTTACATTGTTAACATATACCAAATTGACATAGATAACAATTAATATCACAAGTAAATTTACAAGATTTACAGTTGATTTAAGATACTTCAGTATATAATATCTCACATTATTCATCATTTTATTAAATTCCATCTCCGCATATAGGATAACATTTAAATGATTATAATTGATAACCATCTTAACAATCATAACAAAGTCCTTAAATACAATTGAGACATGAATGTTAACAAGTAAATTAACATAAATGACATCCATCATCTATAATAAAATTGGCATCATCACATTATTCATCATCTGTAATTATTCTATCACCACATATTGAATAACATAAATTATCAATTCTATCATAACCTTATTTACATTCAATACAACCAAGTCCACTATTACTACAATTTAAACAAGAAGATTAACACTTTGGAATACAATTTTAACATCCTTTATATGGTAATATTAACCCATCATCACATTTCTCAACTGTTAATTTAATTGAATCTCCACAAATTGGAATACATATTTAATCAGAAGATAAATAATATTCAGGAGCACAAATTTCACATTTATTATTTATACAACTAGTACAAATAGATGATTATTAACATTAAAATTAACATGAACTACTACAACCATCATAACTAATTGTATTACCATCATCACATTGTTCTGAATAGAATCCATAAGGATCTGTAACTACAAGTCCATCCCCACAAATATTTTTACAATAATAAGATTAAGGAACAAAACCAGGGAATTCACAACTTAAACAAGTTTTATTTGTATAATCACAAGATGAACAACCAATTCTACAGTAATATTTACAATCTTTGCATCCATCTGTATCACTTGAATTTCCATCTTCACATTATTCATTTCCAACAATTTACATATCTCCACATCTTTCTTTACATTACCAAGGATTAATTGTTGGATCAATAAACCATCCTGCAGTAGCACATTCAAAACATTAACCTTTAATACATTAAGTACATTAAGGTTAACATTAATATTTACAATTATAACATCCATCATATTATATAATATTACCATCTTCACATTCTTCAATTCCAGTAATATATCCATCACCACAAATATCAGGACATGGTAAAATAGTATCTTAATTACATGTTAAACAATGAATTGGACATTAATATTAACAATTATAACATAAATCATCTAAAATATTATTATCATCTTCACATTATTCATATCCTTTTATTTATTAATCTCCACAAATAGGTTAACATTCACCAGATATTAATTAAAATCCATTATCACAAGAATTACATATAATAGTATGCCATATATATTAATTATTATTACATAATTTATAACATTTATTTAAAGATATATCTTCTATATTTGGACAATCTATTAATAATAATAAATAATTTAATTACTTATACAAATATTATTTAATTCATAATAACCAGATATACATTAACATTATAATCCTATTAATATTCTATTTAATGATATATCACATGTTAAACAACCATCTATAGTTGTTCTAAAACATGTTTAACATGATTAATGACAATAAGAACATGTTTATATTGATTCTTAATAATATGATCCTTATGGACATCTACAAGTTGATCCTATATTTTCAATATTAATAATATTCTTGCAATTAATACAATCATTAAAAGTAGGTCCATTACATGTATTACAAAATTAATGACATAATTAACATTATGGATTTTATATAATAGAATAATATCCATCTATACAATTACATTATCCATTTTATAATTATCTATTATTAGTAATTAAACATTCTATACAATAAGTTGAACTTAAACATTGATTACATTCTATTGGACAATCAAAACATTAATTAGATTGTTCATATTAATTAAATTTACAAATACATCCTAATTTAGTTAATGTATAAGTAGATTAACATGTTTAACAATCTATTAAAGATGTACATGTTTAACAAGATAATTTACAATCTAAACATTTAACTTAATCTTAATCATAATATTAATTAATTTAACATTCTGATTATGAAAATTTAATAATATTTGGATCATAAGTACTATTCCATAATTAACATGTATTTTAATCAGAACATTATAAACAATAAGGTTAACATTTATGAATAGCTATATAATAATTATAAAATCCACAATAAGCATTAATAGGTTCATTATTAGGTCCATAACATTCCCATTAAATAGTTAATGTATTTGTATTATGTATTATTTTTTAATATACTTTATCTTATTTTGACCCATCAGAACTAGATGATTAATAACTAAGGATTGATTTAGAAACTGGTGTATTATTTTCAATTGTATATATAAATTACCCATCTGAAGGGAATGATGGTCCATATAGGATATAAAAGCCAATAGTAATACTATGATGTGGATCAATGATATTATGAACTCTTGAGAATTTAGCTTAAGCCCAAACAAAAGGACCTCCAAAAACTCTATATTATTGCCAATATGAATAATAAATATCTAATCCTTTTAAAAAATTAGTTCCATTTTGAGATATCAAAGTATATTATGAATATTATTCAGGATCTGTGGCTTTATTTGTATATTCTTAAATTAAATATTAAGAGTCTAATTATAAATATATATATGATACATGGTGTTTCATCATCATAATCATAACAATAAGAACCATTCAAAATTTAATAAGGGCCTTAGCAACTACTAATGCAGCTACCCCTTCGATAATCAAAATAGCCAGGGATACAAGTCTTACATTTGAATGATACTTCACAAAATTAACAATATGATGGGCAATATCCTGAAGTAACTTAAACTGAAACCATTCCCCATCCTGTGGTATTATCTCTAGGATATTTTAATTGAATATTTACGTATAATTCCCAACTGCAGAAAAGAGAAATGGATATTTAGGAATGTCAAGATATGTAATTAAATCATATCTCTTTACCTAGGAATAATTCATATATGAGCCTTAAAAAAAGGTATCATAGAGTTATATCTTGTGGGTTTGAATTCCAGAGTCATCTCTATAAATAGATCCAAAATAAGTATTATTAATCTTAAATGATATTCCACAATTAATTGGGGTTTCATTAAATGTAAGTATTGAAATTTTGATACCAATTAAATAAGTGGCATAAGGATAATTAGAAATTTTGTTGAAAAATCTATATATACCAGAGTTAAACTTAAATACTCCATAGTGATATTAATTATAAGTTATGATTGTTGGAGATGTATCTATGTGCTGTGGGTCATATATTAATGACCATTTCATATTTTCAGAGGAAGTTGGAGAGTACTCAATATTACCTTATTCTAATGAATAAACTATGATAATAAAAAATATAATATATACTTTTATAATATTAACAAAATCCATTTGAATATAATGGAGAGTAGATGTCACAAATATTTTTGCATCCTGTATATTACTAATAATATAAATTTGATGGACATGGTGGACAAATGTTATTTGTATGTTGTCCATAATAGCATCCAGTGCATTGATTGAATTTTGGACCTGTACAATACATGCAAGAAGGATAACAATATGGACTTGATATGATAAAATTCCTAATTGAAACTTATCCTGTATTTGTATTTGAGATATTTAATTGAGCTTGCCCTGAAGTTGAGCTTGTTGATTAAATTGTAAAATTAACAGTTCTGACGTCAGCAGAGATATTATCACAAAATTAAGTTGTTAATGAATAATTTGCAGGTGAGGTATAGCTATATGAGTATGAAAATGATCCTAAAACAATGGTAATAATTTGAGATGACCATGTACCTTGAAAAAATAAGTCCACTGATACAAAATACCCGTTCCTGTAGATATATGAAGAATAATATTTTGCTAATATTTATGTTTGATTTAGAGTAATGTAACTTGTTGGAGGAGTTGTACATGTGATAAAATTAGCAGTTGTAGTACTTAATGCCGAAACAAAGTATCCTGATTTTGTATATGCTATAGATGTTCCAGTTGTATAGGTATATTTCTCATTTTAGTCTAACAAACTATATTATGTTTGCCATTATGAATTAGTTATTTGAATCAAGCAAGCAAGGACAAATTTGATTAATAATGTCATTAATTAAAATAAAAGAAAATGATTTAAAATAAGATGTATTAAAAAGATAAGAAAATGAAAAGTTTAGTATTATCAAATCATTTCGATCATCTTTCCTTTCTATAGAGTTAGTTTGAAATTATTATAGTATTTAAATAGAGGTTAATAAAAATAAAATATATCACTTGGTAAAGGATTTGCGATTAATTTTATCAAAAATGAATTAGAATTCAGTACAAATAATTATATCATTATCGAATTTGATATGTATATCTGAGATTGAATAAAAATTTATAGGAAAATGAGGATAATAATTTAATTAGAATGAGGAGCAATATGATTGGATTGTTAAGAATGGTTAAAATATTACTAGAATTTAGTGACATCCCTATTTAAATAATATACCTCTTTTTACAAAATTTTGAATGTGTACTATGTTTAATGAAAAAATCTAAAAACATTCTTGAAATATTATTGTATAATATAAAAACATGATTAAATTAAATTCTAATATCTGAATCAGATATATAAATCTTAATTAAATTTAAAAAATATTTTATGGACCGTCTTAACCCATCTTCAAAAGATTGTATAGTTCCACTAATTGAAGAAAATTCCCCTTGTATTTGTAATTAATAATATTTTATAAATAGAAACAAACAAACCAGAGATTGATGCTCACTTTTTATTACCACAATTTACATAAATGATGTAGAATCCCGATTTCTTCCTTTAATCTGTTTAATTAGAGTAATTAAAACAGATGTAATCATCATTCTATTCATAAATGAACAATATCCCACTAATTACAGAAGAACCTAGAGTCATGGATTTATTTACATAATAACTTTTATAACAATAGCTTATGATAAATGCAGCATTATTAAACTAATTCTAAGTAAATTGATAACTAAATAGGGTGTTGAAAATATCAATTATAGTTAAACTAAAGATCTCGTGGATAATAAAATAAAAAGAAAACATATAAAAAAATCACATAATCCATTGTTTAATAATGGTATATTCCATTTTTTAATTTAAGGTCATTGGAGTGCATAGGAACATTAAGTCTATTTAACATTTTTATAATAACATAGAGATGTGATGGAAAGTTCTGAGTTAAAGAAAACTAATAAAATTTTTAAACTTATGTCTGACATAATTAAGTCTAGATCTCCATCATAATGCCGTTCTCATCATTAAAAATTTAATCCATATTCCAAATATTTAGTTAATGTAATTTGTATTTGATAAATTAGAATAATATTGTTAGAAGAAAAATGAAAGAATAAATGTTAAGTGATCCTCAATAATAAAAATAATCATAACAAGAGAATGAAAATATTTAACAATAGTCTTAGGATTCAAATTAAAAAATATAGTTTTAATAGTAAGATTCTAATTAAAAAATTGAATTTTAATAATAATTATTGGAATCGAATGTGAGAGATGATTAATAATAACTGAGTGGCTAAGAATGATTGTTTAACTCTTTAGATAATTATAAAAAAGAAAACATTTTATTAAAATTAATTATTTTATTTAAAAAAATGAAGAAGCTTTATTAAGCAACTTTGTATTAAAATTGAAACAAACTTTATAATTACGTTGTTGAATATAAAAGTTAATATTTGATTCCAACTTCTTTTAGAAATTCAAAATTGAAATAAAATTATTAATAATATATATATAAATGAAAGAATTTTGAGAATCCTATTATTATTATTCTTACTTCACTTATTTTCATAATTTATGATCTAAAAATATGAAATCTTAAATAAACCATTCATTTGAGTTAGTTAAGTTTGATTATAATACGAAATGCTTTTATTTTTATGAAATTATGAAATAAACTAAAAAAAGATTAAGTTATATAAAAAATCAAAAGCCTGCAAACATAGAATGGATATTAAATCTTCTTGATTAGATACCTAAGTATCAATTATAATAAAGCAACCTCAAATCAGCAACCTAAATTTAACTATAAGGATTATAAGATTGCGATTAAATACTCAAATCAGAACTTTATTCTTTTAACACTAAGACAAATAAATTTTAGTAAATAACATTTTCACTTTACCCTAATATGCTTATTAATAATTATGGAGAATTCCTTATATTATCTACTTGTATTATGATTAAGAAGATTATTTAATATAAGGAATTTATAGCTTAAGGTGTTTTGCTATATAATCATCATGGAAATCTATTTATATTTTATGAATCTTATGTTTAACAATTAAATGTATGTATATTGTTATTCTTAGTGGGAAAAATAATTAAAAAGATTTTGTAAACAACAAAATTTTTCTTAAAAATACACCATCAAAGAAAAATTATCCATTCCAAATCATTTTGTTTGTGTAAAAAATAAAAATAGTAAGATATTATTAAATAATAATAGATCGAATATACACAGTACAAATGATAAGATTTACACATTTAAACGAGTAAAATTATGAACAATTGATGAATGAAATAAATATTTTAATGTGTTTTAAATAGAGTGGTTTAAATCAATTTCATGCATTGTTTGAAGACGGAGAAATACTATATATTTTGTATGATTATTGGATAGGAGATACATTATTTAAATAATTATAATAAGGATTACTACTAACAACGCAATAAATTTCTTAAATTATATATCAATTAATAAAAGTATGTAGATTTTTAACTATAAATAATCTTTATCATGCTGCAATCTTACCAACTAATATTATCTTATTGAGAAACAATAACAATGCTCAACAATAAACTAAAATTACATTATTTAATTTTAGTTTTAGAGATGGAAACCAAGTTCCTTCTATAATTTAAAAATTACCAAATGCTTGGATACCTCCTGAATTTTAATGTCTTAATGTCAAATAAGATCTTGCATAAATTGATTTATATTAAATTGGAGTCTTGCTTTATTACTTAACAATATTTCTACCTGAAAAAGGAATCAAGCAAGGACCTTTTAATAAAACTATTGATAATTTTTAAATCTAATATGCATGGCTTAAAGGATTATAAAATAAAAATCCTATTCCATATTCATATTCCTTAATAGACTTTTTATGCTAACTATTGGATCCAAATCCTTAAACAAGAATAACTTATTCAGTTGCAATTTGCCATTAATGGTTAATTAATTAAAAGCATTAATAAAATCCAATAGAAAAAGAAAATATTAAAATTTTAGCATCTTTAAGAACTATCTTAGAACTCAGAGAGTAAAACTCGAATGATTATGCATCATCTTAACGGTTCGATTAAAAATTAGAGTAACATATTACAAGCTCTTCTGAAGAAGAAGATTAAGAATAGACTGTGGATAATAATCTACATAGAATCTCAAAAGAAAGAAATTGTATTCCTCATTATATTAATCTGATAAACATAATTACACCTTGTAAGCATCCTTCTAGAAAATCTGTTAACGATTAAATTCATTTTGTTTGATTTCACTCTATATCTATATTCAGTTTTATATCTAAATTCTAATATTTAAGATGAAAGATTCAATCATATTATAAAGTCTGTTATTATATAAAATATATCATATTTTCTCTAAAATCAAGTTTAATTATTTTACTAATTTAAAAGTAAGTATTAATTAATTTAATATCAATACTTAAATTCTACATAATATACGTTAGCATTTAGTAAATGTTTTATTACTACAACTATCCAAATTAGCATCGAAGGAGGTAAGAATTTTGAAAATAATAAAATCATTGTCATATATATATATACTACCTAAAGTTGAAGATTATTTTTATAAAGTTGATTTAGTATTGACATTTATTAAAAGCTAAGTTAAATAAATAATTCTATATATTTTCATAAGTTCTTAAAGATATTTAATTTGAAAATGATTAAGTATATTATCTATTACATATTTTGATATTTAAATACATCATCTACATCAATTAAATAAATATAAAAACACTTTTATTATACCTCATAAATTCCTTGTTACATATTACTTCATTTATTAATCTTGGATCTTTTACATTACTAAGACTATGAATTCAGAATGAATAATTTCTTATAATTTAATAAAATTTATATAATACTCAATTATCAGTCCAAGATGGCTTTCTCTTTTCTACAAATGCTGACATTCCCTCTTTTCTGTCTTAAGTTGCAAATGTAGAATAGAATGCTTTTCTTTCATACTTCACTCCTTCTCTTAATCCAATATTTTCTGCTTCATTAATAGTGTCTTTAATTAATGCAGCAACAGGTCTATAATAATTATATTAAGATTACTTGCTAAATGATGCTATCTTTTCAGCCACTTTTAATGCTTCATCAACTAAATTTTATACTGGAACTACTTTGCTGACTAATCCATATGAAAGTGCAGTCTATGCATCTATAAATTCTCCAGTTAATGTCATTTCCATGGCCTTTGATTTACCTACTGCTCTAATTAATCTTTGAGTTCCTCCACATCCTGGTATCTAATGATATAGAAATATTTCTTACTGTTCCAAGTGTAATTTCAGGTAATCCAAATTTAGCATTTTCTCCTGCATAAATAATATCACACATCATAGCTAATTCAAATCCTCCTCCTAAGGCATATCCATTTACTGCTGCAAGAATAGGTTTTTTAATATTAGTTAAGTTTTCCCATGCTAAAAATGATATATTTGATTACATGCAAGCATTTGAATGTTTTAAACTTATGGAAAAGATTTGTCTTGCATTTCTTTTATGTCTGCTCCTGCTGCAAATGCTTTTTCATTTCCTGTTATTACAATGGATCCATATTCAGGATTAGCATCAATTTCTTATGTTACTTGGTTTAATTCTTTAATTAATCCATCACAAAGAGCATTCATTGCTTTTGGTCTATTAAATTAGATTAAAGCAACTTTTCCTTTTTGTGTAACATTTATAAAATTGTATGTGCTAAATCTGAACAATGATTTTCTAAACATAAAAAATTTATTTATATAAAATTAAGTATTTCAAGTATGTTATTAATTATTTTTAGTTAAAATTATCTTATCATGTTTATTGTAAGTGAGTTTCTTAAGTGATAGTATGCTTGGGTGATGATTATCGATTGATTATCATTTATTTAGTTCTTCAACAGCATTTTATAATTCCTTTAAATATCATTTATAAATTTGTACATTTTCGTTTTATCAAAAGATTAAATGAAGAAATAGAAAAGCAATAGATATTTCTTGTTTCTCTTAACATTTTATATGACTTATTAAAAATTATTCTTGGTTAAAAGAATTCAGAAATAAAACTTTCTAATTGTAAATATTTTATCTAAGATTTTTTAGACATTAAATAGTAAATTAGATATTTTAGATGTTAATCTTTAAGATTTATTATTCATATAAAATTAGTTTCTAGTAGTTTTATTTCTTTAACTAGACTTTTAATGATTTTAGCTCTAGGTTTGATTAATTAGCTATTAATTTTATGATTATAAAGATGCGAAGATTTTCTAAAATATAAGGCTTAATTTTTATTAATGAAATCATGATAGTGTAATTAATAGTTATTAATCAAAAATAGTAAAAATATTTATAATACAAAAAAGATAAAATCCAAGTTTTATTATGATTTATTTCATTATTTTTTTGAAGAATTTAAAGAAAAAAATAAACATTTCAAACATTTCTAAGTTTTTTATAGATTTTTAATAATGAAGTACTATATATTTATATTGATGATTCAACCATATGATTTAAAAATAAAGAAACAATTAGTAACATTATGATCTTATGATTAGATTTGATAATTCTGAAGTTATTATTTTTTAATTATTTTTTTTATTAAAAATAAATATAATATTTTTATAGTTTTACAATTCTTTATAGAATTTTATTATACTTTTTTAGTTTTTATGATTCTATTGAGATAATTTTTTAGAATAAGAATTGCGCTGGTGTATTTTCACGATAATAATACTGTCTATGCCTTAGCAAATTAGATATCTAACATATTTTTGTGTATTTTAGATAATTAATATTCATTCAGGTAGATAATTTCAATTAATTCTCATTATAAATACTATTCAAATAAAATGATAATAGATTCTAAACCATTTCTATTTGATTACATGATATTAAAATAATATATATATGCAACTTAAGTTTTTATTTTTTTTCTTTTTTATTGATGAATATATATTGATGAATATATTAATTTCAATTTGAAAGCAATATTACTATTGAATATTTAATAATTTAATATTATTTTCTTCTTTCTATATTTAATTTTATTTGATTCTTTCAAACTTAATGCTATTTGCTTCCTAATTAGTTATTTATTTGGTATTAATTGTTAGTAAATATATTCATCTTTAATGGACATAAAAATTAAGTTTTTAATTCAATTTTTCTGAAAATTACTCATTACTTTTGTAAAGTTTTAAATTTATAAAGTGATTTTAAGCAAATATTTAATTTTTGTATTAATAATGTAAATAAAATAAATTAGAATGATTAAAAATAATAGAATTCAAAGTAATGAGAGCTTTTACTTTAATAAGTATTCAATTTAATGATAATTTATAATAGTGAACATAATTTATAAATATTAATCTTATTTTATTTATTGATATCTATAAAGAAGGATTTCTATTTTTACTCTAATTTATAACTTAATTTATTTAGATATATGATTAATATTGATTAATCACTTTTGCAATGTTTTTAATATATTCAATTAATTTAAATAACAATGTAAATCGATTAATAATAATAATCATCAACTTTAGAAAAGGAAGCTGAAAGTCCTAAGGGAAAAGAAGAGGTGAGATTGATAGTTTTTCCTTAAAAATTCCTTAATCCTCTCATGACGTTTAGAATGAATGGGGTATCTAGAATAACCAACTAAATTCAAGGATTTTCATTTATATGCAGATTCTAGATATATTCAAAGTCATCATCCATTGAAAATAGGGATCAGTTGCCAGAATCCATATAAAAAAATTACAAATATTGTTTTAGATCAAAGCACTGAAACAATCACTTTGTTTTATACTTAATTAGATTTTTCATAAACTCCATGGGAATATGTTGTAAAAAGACTTGAGAGTTATGGAGATATCGAAATGACCAAATTAAGTTTATATATAAAGAAATATAATGAACAGCTTAATTCTGGTTTGAAATAAGAAATTAATAAGATGGTAAGAACTATGAGTTAAATTTTATAGGTTGTGAATAATTAATATAGATCAAAGGGATCTTATTAATATAAATATATCAAAGAGCTAGATTAATTCTTTATTTCTTCTGTAACATATGATATAAAATTGATTGAAGACTTGGGATTTGCAGTTCCATAATTTATTGAATAATGTTTTAAGACAGGAATCCCAGAGTTTAATTATTTTAATTTATTATAAGAATATCTTTGAAGCCAGATAGCACAAATGGCCAGTACTATAAAAATGTTGTAGAATTTGCCAAACCATTGACATTTCCAGATGAAGAACAAGATTTTTACTTATATTCACATCGATATCCTTATGTATTAATGGACAACTTATAAATTTTAAGGGTCTGAAAACAAATGTATCTTTTTCGATAGGAAAAGTAGAAGAATCTATGAAAACTGATTAACTTATCAATTTTAATTTCTATTTCGATTACAAACCTACTATTAATACTAAAGAATCGGTTCTCCAAAATAAAAAATTAAAATCTCAGAATAGCATATCATTTTACTATTAAATATAAGAAAATTAGTATCAAAGATGCGGCTATAAGAAAACCAAACTTTCTTGATTAATAGTTTTGTATTTATTAAACAAAGGTTATGATTATTATAGATTAATTAATTAATTCTCATAATTGTTTAATAATTGTATTTTTTTTCGATTGATATAAAAATAATTAGTTAATATAATAATTATAATCAAACGATTAATTTTATCTAATATTGTAAGCCCTCTTTTGTAATGGTCATCTTTTTGAAATTCATTTATTTTAAATAATTAATGAATTTAAAATCAATATAATTCATAAGTCTTGTTTTAGAATAAATTTTAAAAGTCTGAAATTCCTATAATAAATTATAAATTAATAATAATATACAAAACAATTAGATTTAAGCCTATGAACTACTTATTTAATTATAACAATATTCATAATATATAATTCAATTGATATTTGAACTATTTATTATTCCAACTTATTAAAATATTGATTATTTATTATGTAAGTGATTCCATTATTGATTTATTCTTTTAACAATTTTTCAATTTAAACTGTTAAATAAACTATATAAAATTATTAACATGGTTAACAATCTATTATCTTTTTAAACTTTCAGAAATGAGAATCTTTTAAAAAAAGTGGAATTTTATCATTCTAATTTTAAAAAATATTTTTAATAATAATCCTAAAATGGGTATTACTACTTAATTTATAGAAAAAACAGAAGTATTTCTATTACTATTTCTGATTTAATAAAATTTTGGTACAATAAAAATAATCTAATGAGTTAAACTTAAAAAATATATTTTATAAAATAATTAGAATATGAATTGAANATATAAAATTGATTGAAGACTTGGGATTTGCAGTTCCATAATTTATTGAATAATGTTTTAAGACAGGAATCCCAGAGTTTAATTATTTTAATTTATTATAAGAATATCTTTGAAGCCAGATAGCACAAATGGCCAGTACTATAAAAATGTTGTAGAATTTGCCAAACCATTGACATTTCCAGATGAAGAACAAGATTTTTACTTATATTCACATCGATATCCTTATGTATTAATGGACAACTTATAAATTTTAAGGGTCTGAAAACAAATGTATCTTTTTCGATAGGAAAAGTAGAAGAATCTATGAAAACTGATTAACTTATCAATTTTAATTTCTATTTCGATTACAAACCTACTATTAATACTAAAGAATCGGTTCTCCAAAATAAAAAATTAAAATCTCAGAATAGCATATCATTTTACTATTAAATATAAGAAAATTAGTATCAAAGATGCGGCTATAAGAAAACCAAACTTTCTTGATTAATAGTTTTGTATTTATTAAACAAAGGTTATGATTATTATAGATTAATTAATTAATTCTCATAATTGTTTAATAATTGTATTTTTTTTCGATTGATATAAAAATAATTAGTTAATATAATAATTATAATCAAACGATTAATTTTATCTAATATTGTAAGCCCTCTTTTGTAATGGTCATCTTTTTGAAATTCATTTATTTTAAATAATTAATGAATTTAAAATCAATATAATTCATAAGTCTTGTTTTAGAATAAATTTTAAAAGTCTGAAATTCCTATAATAAATTATAAATTAATAATAATATACAAAACAATTAGATTTAAGCCTATGAACTACTTATTTAATTATAACAATATTCATAATATATAATTCAATTGATATTTGAACTATTTATTATTCCAACTTATTAAAATATTGATTATTTATTATGTAAGTGATTCCATTATTGATTTATTCTTTTAACAATTTTTCAATTTAAACTGTTAAATAAACTATATAAAATTATTAACATGGTTAACAATCTATTATCTTTTTAAACTTTCAGAAATGAGAATCTTTTAAAAAAAGTGGAATTTTATCATTCTAATTTTAAAAAATATTTTTAATAATAATCCTAAAATGGGTATTACTACTTAATTTATAGAAAAAACAGAAGTATTTCTATTACTATTTCTGATTTAATAAAATTTTGGTACAATAAAAATAATCTAATGAGTTAAACTTAAAAAATATATTTTATAAAATAATTAGAATATGAATTGAATAATAATACTTTTACTATCTCTAATGTTTTACAAATTAATTTTTAGAAAATTTTGTAAAATAATTAAAAAAATGATAATCCAATTAAATGTCTTAAAAGCAGAGAAATTTTTGGGTTATCTATAAATGAAGCAAATAGGTGTTAATATAAATGTGAATTAGATATTTGAGATTGATTTAATATCTTTTATTGATAAAAAACAATAAAAAATATATTATTCTAATTGAAAAACCTAAAGATTTAAAGAATAAGTTAAATGATTGCATAACATACATATTATTGTAATAACTTTATGTAAATGGTTTTGATTTATTGCTTTATAAACATTTGTATTTTTTTAGTGTAATTTAATAAATAATATTAATGAGAGAATGGTAATAATAATAAATAATTTAATATTTTATATATGAATTTAATTAATTGTTTAGATTTAAGTCAATAAATAGTGAAATAGATTTTTCGAAGTAAATACAAATCAAAAGTGGATACTAATTTCAATATTGAATGTAATTAAATACGTAAGAAATGGAACAATAATGGATAAAACCATATCGTAATCTAATTTTATTTATGCAAATCAAGAAAATAATATTTAGTAGAAGAATGGAATATCATTTGCATTTAATAATAAATAAGCGATCATATTCAAGATTAATTTAAGAAGTGTGAATAATTAGCTTCATAAACTCCATTATGTTTAAAATAAGACAATTAAATTGATCACATTATACATTTGAATGAAAATAAACGAACAGATTGGATAGATCCTAGTTTAATCTTAACTAGTTAATTACAATTATCTAATAAAGTAACAATTAATGTGGCTTACTTATCAACTTTAGAGATAATAGAAAGAGAGATTCAAGAATCAACTAAAGACTCATTGCCATTTAGAAGAGATAGATTTCTATCAGATGATATTCAATAAAGTATGTATGTATTTATATGCAATAAAGATAATCGATTAAGAAGAAGCACAGATATAGATGGATTAAGATAATATAAGAAGAATAAAGAAATATTGACTAAAGTTATGAATAGAATGAATGATTCATTTTGTAAGATATTAATAATAATCATTAGCTTCTACTTCTAGTAAAAATAAGTCAACTTAATTATTGACTATAATCAATAAGAAAGATGATATTGAAATTCTATCATCTCCTGAAGATGCATAAAAAATTATTGATGAAGATGAAAATGGAGATTATGAAATTTAAATGATTATTGATGAAGAACCTATCATCAAAGGTCAAACCATTATCATCAAATCATAACAACAATAATTTCATCCAATTATAGATTACATTTTTAAAATAAGAAATAAGAAACATAATTATAATACTTAATTATTTGATACAATGAATTTTATTAAAAATTATTACTGATATTCATATAATTATTCATCATTCTTATATATTTATCTTTAATAATCATTATTTTTATAACTAATACTCTTCCATTAAATAAACATTTGTATTTATTAATAAATTTTAGATTGATATTTAAAATTAACTTATGTATTTACTATATACTTAATTAGAATTAATTAGTTCTGAAGTAAAAATCTGTATTATTATTCTTTATATAAACTTATTTATAGTTATTTGAATCTATGATTTAATTAGTTATTATTAATACAATCTTATATATTAATAATATGTTTATAGTTTAAGTCAATACTAATAAATATTTATTATTAATATAAAATAATAAAACTTAAAATGGCTGAATAGGAAGAATATTCTTAATGTTAAGGTATTGGTTATACGTTGATTAAACATTCAAAGTCTGAGATTAGAAAGATTTCTGATCCTATTTATGATTTTATTTATTTTGATTAAGCAATTTGGAAAGTGATAGACAATCCAATTTATTAAAGATTGAGAAACATCAAACAATTAGGCACAACAAGTTGGGTATTTTAGGGAGCAAATCATACGAGATTTGAACATTGTTTAGGAGTTGGACATTTAGCTTAATAATTCATAACCTCTATATATAAAAATTAACCATAATTAGATGGTGAAGAGGATAAAAGAAGAAATATTAAATTGGTTACAATAGCTGGAATTGTTCATGATTTAGGTCATGGACCATTTAGTCATATGTTTGATAATTTATTAATACCTAAACTTACTAATACTTCAGAATTATGGTGTCATGAATAAGCTTCAGAAATGTTATTTAATTATATGTATGATAAATACTAACTTGGATTAGAAAAAGATGATGTTAATTTTATTAATGCATTAGTTCATGGAGATAATAACAAAGTTTCTAACGGAAAAAAATAATGGTTTTATGATATTGTATCAAATAAAAGAAATGGTATTGATGTAGATAGAGTCGATTATATTCGTAGAGATTGCCATCATTTAGGATAACCTCCATGTATTAAAGATTTTAAATATCTTATGGAAGAATCACGTGTTATTGGTGATGAGATTTGCTATCCATAAAGATATGCATTCAATATTTATGATTTATTCAATACTAGATACAAACTATTTAAAATTGTTTATCTCAATAGAATAAGTTAATGTATTGAATAAATGATTTGTGATATTCTACTCTCTGTTAATAATATTTATAAATTTGATTAGATTATTTATTAACCTGAAAAATACTATAAATTGAATGATTCTATTATTGAATAAATTGATAGTGCAGAAGGACCAGAATATGCTAAAGCTTAAGCTATTATTAAAAGATTAAAAACTAGAGAATTATATAAATTTGTAAGTGAAGCACTTGTTCCATCTTCAACTATTTTAGAATCAAATGATAAAATTAGAGATGAAATATTAGCCTATATGACTTCAAGTGCTTAAGTTAATATTGATGAGATTTATGTATCTTAAGGTAAAGTTAGCTTTGGATCTAATAATGAAAATCCTATACATCTTGTTCATTTCTATAAAGGATCAGATTAAGATCTTAAAATTTAAGGTAATGATACAACTCATAGCTTTTGTATGCCAAAATAATTCTCTGAAAAATTTATTAGAATTTTTGTTTCTAATGTTTAAATAATATAACCAGTAGAGAAGGCTTTTGAATTATATTGTAAAAACAAATTAGGATTTACTCCAATAAATTAAGATAGATATCAAACACCTTAAAAGTAGGTTACAGACTTTTCTTAAATAAAAATTCGTTGAGCATCAATTTACATGATTGTTAACTATAGTATTATATACAATCTAATTTATTTACCACCTTTCATTTGCTTATTTTTTATAAACTTATATAATAATTAATTTTAATTAAAAGATTTTTTAATATAAATATTAAATTATCATCCATAATTATGGAATCTAATCTATAAATTTTAAGTTGATGAGGAAAATAAATTATAAACATCTAAACCATCATATAAAATTATTTTCAATATTTTAATAAATAAATAAATATAGATAGAAAATTAGGAGTTTCTTATAAAAAATGGGATACATTATATAATTACAATTCCTCGAATATAGTCTTAAAAACCATAGACATCTTCATCTTAATATAATTATTATTCATTAAAAAAAGGAGATTTTCTAAATATGAATAAGAAATTAATGAATTTGAGAAAAGGTTAAAGAAATAGAAAAAATATATGAATATCTTCCAGATTAAAAGATAAGAATTGATTAATGAATTAAATAAATGATAAATGATTAAAAATTCAAGCTAACTACTAGATTCTTTTAATTGTAATGATGCATTCTGAAAAACAGTTAGATTTTTAATGGTATTAGGAGATATGAATAAAACTTAATCTGAAAATGAGAGATTATCATAATTTTAAAGAAAAGATGTAGATGTTAGAAAAGCCTTATGATAAAGTGATTGAATTTCAACTTAATTATGTATATTCTAAATATTTAAAATAAAAATTATTAATTAATATTTATATATTAATTAATTTTTAATAAAATTAACAAAAACTAATTTTCAAAATTTATAAATTGAAATTAGAACTTATGTTTATATTATGTGCTTAAGATTTTTATTACATATTCACAGTAACATTTATTGAAATTTAACTAAAGTAAATAATATATTAAATAATAATCACTTATTTTTAAATATGAATATGACTTAAATAAATCTCAGATTTGAAAAATTAATTAGATTTCTATATATTATCATATTGCTATAAATTAATTATTGATAATATATTTTATTAATTAATTAATTTTATAATTATAATCATACTTATAATAATGATATTAATTTAACATTTTAAATATTTAATATTTAATTCCGAGACCAAGTCATAATATAAAACAAAAAGTTTTCCATTTTTTTCTATATTTGGATTTCAATAAAAATTTAATATAAATTTAAGGGTAAATCACTGAAATACCAAAACTTACATAATAAATATTATTATTGTCAGTTTTGATTTTGGATGGGAATCTAATAACATAAATTTGAGTTAAATCAGTAAATAACAGAAATCTCAATTATACTAGGTTGAAAAAGTCATTGAGGGGACATTTAGTGGCAAATTGATTATATATATTCCATCTAGTAAACCTGAAATCGAAATAATTGTTAATCAAACTTTGCCAGTTTCAATTTTTTTTATCTTTTTAGAGTTCAAAAACAATGATTAGTCAATATCAAATGAAAATTTGAAATAAAATAAACTTAGAAAAATATCAATTATCTATTTAATAATTATTTATAAATTTAATACAATTTTTTATATAGAAATTTAGTTAATAGAACTTAAGTTAAGATGAAATTCATCTTCTAATTATTAATATTAGATCATGCTAATACAGTATGTGATTTTAATAATAATAAAATGATAGAAAGATGATATTTTTAATTTATCATTAACTTTATTCTATAAAAATATTATATATATTTTCCTATTTCACCTTATTCCATATGTGTAATTTTCTTTGTAACAATAATGGTAATAACTTTATTAATATCATTTATTAGAAGCCACTCCTATATAACATAATCTTAACTTAAAATCAATGTTTTAACCTAAATTTTGAATAAGACAAAAATAATTTATTGCTTTTATTTAATTTATTATTTTCAAGCAATCTATATTCTAATAGAAAAATAATAGGATATCAATATGAAACATGGGAAACAATAAAATCATCTTCTCACAAAATCATTTTACAGTTCAGTTTACAATTACAATCTTTGAAACTAAAAAATTCGTTTATGTTCAAAATTAACCTTTACATATAATCCTATGATGATGTATTAAACACATTATTAAAAATTTCTTGTTTAGAATATTGTACAGAGATATTTATCAATAATTTTTCAAAATAATCCAAATGAATAATTTTGTTCTATATAAAGTAATTTTATAGAATCTAAAAATCATATATTAAAACAATGCAATTTTTGCTCATAATTATCGTTCTTGCTTTTATAGAAGTTCCTTATTGCTAATGGTAAATCTATTCAAGTTTATTATATTCAAATTCATTATTTACCTAAAAAACTGGCCAATATGCATCTTCATAATCAGGATTCTTTTTATAACTAAATACACAAACCACGGCTCATTTTATCACTTGCACTACCCAATAAACAAGCTATATTACTTTAAATAATAATTATCCTAGTGTTCAAACAGATATAACCTACTCTATATATAATGGATATTTTGTAGCTTTCGATTTATATTTTCAAGGTACTTGGCAAAATCAAGTAGTAAAATTTATATATGGTTCATTTGAATACTAATATTAGTATGAATCACCATCAGTTTATCCAATAAATTATGCATTTTGTGATAACAAAGAAGCTGATGTAAAAACAGTAAATTTTACAATATCAACTTCTTATTATGAATAGATTTAGTTTACATCACTCAATACTGGTACTGGGTAAGTTTCAATCAGAAATTTGCATATATCCAATTTTAAATGTTTTCCATCATGTTCCTATTGTAATGGTCCTGGATTTTAATATTGCACAAGTTGCTATTTCCAAACACCCACTAATGGAGTTTGCCCCACTTGTCCAACAAATTAATATTATATGAAATACACAGGATGCAAACTAATTTGTGATATAACTTCCTCTTTTTTTTAAAGAGGGTTTTGTCAAAATTATCCAAGTAAATTAAAAATTAAAATATCTTAGTTCGAACCTTTGTATCTACTTAATTTACAGAAAACTAAACCCCAGAAAATTTAAAATGGTCTTTAATTCTTGATTCACAACATATTGATAATACTTTGCTTCCAAATATTTACTTCTAATACCAATATATTTATGGAATTTTTAAATATAATTCTGGAGTCTATAGGTTTATAAAAGAATTATCATCTAATTATGGAACTTATTCTATTGGATTAAAAATTATATTATTTACATTCAATGAAATTCTACTGGATTGTGGAATTCACATTAAAATTAACAATACTTATTATGGATCAATTTATAGAAATTTTTCAGGGATTTATGCACATAGATTCACAATATATGAAGCTTCAAACTATGCTACGAAAGTAAATAATTATGTGGTCAAGAGATATGTCTTAATTTCCTATTTTGACATTCCTAAGAACCCATTCATATTTTCAGCTATCGGAAATTATACGTAAATATAAATTAATTTAGCTTAGCGATGGCTCCTCAGGATGGGGAATTTTATCAGTTTAAGTTACTTCAGGATATTGCCCATCATATTGTTAATTGTGTGAAGTATCATTTAAATGTAAGACTTGTATCTCTGGATATTTTTATTATCGAAGTGGTAGCTGCATTAGTAGTTGCTCAGGCCCTTATTAAATTTTGAATGGTTCTTATTGTTATGATTATGATGATGAAACACCATGTATCATATATATATTTATAATTAGACTCTTAATATTTAATTTAAGAATATACAAATAAAGCCACAGATCCTGAATAATATTCATAATATACTTTGATATCTCAAAATGGAACCAATTTTTTAAAAGGATTAGATATTTATTATTCATATTGGCAATCATATAGAGTATTTGGAGGTCCTTTTGTTTGGGCTTAAGCTAAATTTTCAAGAGTTCATAATATCATTGATCCACATCATAGTATTACTATTGGCTTTTATATCCTATATGGACCATCATTCCCTTCAGATGGGTAATTTATATATACAATTGAAAATGATTCACCAGTTTCTAAATCAATCCTTAGTTATTAATCATCTAATACTGATGGATCAAAATATGATAAAGTATATTAAAAAATAATACATAATACAAATACATTAACTATTTAATGGGAATGTTATGGACCTAATAATGAACCTATTAATGCTTATTGTGGATTTTATAATTATTATATAGCTATTCATAAATGTTAACCATATTGTTTATAATGTTCTGATTAAAATACATGTTAATTATGGAATAGTACTTATGATCCAAATATTATTAAATTTTCATAATTAGAATGTTAAACTAATTAATATTATGATTAAGATTAAGTTTAATGTTTAGATTGTAAATTATCTTGTTTAACATGTACATCTTTAATAGATTGTTAAACATGTTAATCTACTTATACATTAACTAAATTAGGATGTATTTGTAAATTTAATTAATATGAACAATCTAATTAATGTATTGATTGTCCAATAGAATGTAATTAATGTTTAAGTTCAACTTATTGTATAGAATGTTTAATTACTAATAATAGATAATTATAAAATGGATAATGTAATTGTATTGATGGATATTATTCTATTATATAAAATCCATAATGTTAATTATGTCATTAATTTTGTAATACATGTAATGGACCTACTTTTAATGATTGTATTAATTGCAAAAATATTATTAATATTGATAATATTGGATCAACTTGTAAATGTCCATAAGGATCATATTATTAAGAATCAATATAAACATGTTCTTATTGTCATTAATCATGTTAAACATGTTTTAGAACAACTATAGATGGTTGTTTAACATGTGATATATCATTAAATAGAATATTAATAGGATTATAATGTTAATGTATATCTGGTTATTATGAATTAAATAATATTTGTATAAGTAATTAATTTATTTATTATTATTAATAGATTGTCCTAATATAGAAGATATATCTTTAAATAAATGTTATAAATTATGTAATAATAATTAATATATATGGCATACTATTATATGTAATTCTTGTGATAATGGATTTTAATTAATATCTGGTGAATGTTAACCTATTTGTGGAGATTAATTAATAATAGGATATGAATAATGTGAAGATAATAATAATATTTTAGATGATTTATGTTATAATTGTTAATATTAATGTCCAATTCATTGTTTAACATGTGATTAAGATACTATTTTACCATGTCCTGATATTTGTGGTGATGGATATATTACTGGAATTGAAGAATGTGAAGATGGTAATAATATATAATATGATGGATGTTATAATTGTAAATATTAATGTTAACCTTAATGTACTTAATGTATTAAAGGTTAATGTTTTTAATGTGCTACTGCAGGATGGTTTATTGATCCAACAATTACTCCTTGGTAATGTAAAGAAAGATGTGGAGATATGTAAATTGTTGGAACTGAATAATGTGAAGATGGAAATTCAAGTGATACAGATGGATGCAAAGATTGTAAATATTAATGTAGAATTGGTTGTTCATCTTGTGATTATAATACTAAAACTTGTTTAAGTTGTGAATTCACTGGTTTTGTTCCTTAATCTTATTATTGTAAAAATATTTGTGGAGATGGACTTGTAGTATCAGATCCTTATGGATTCTATTCAGAACAATGTGATGATGGTAATACAATTAATTATGATGGTTGTAGTAGTTCATGTTAATTTTAATGTTAATAATCATCTATTTGTACTAGTTGTATAAATAATAAATGTGAAATTTGTGCTCCTGGATATTATCTATCTTTTAATTAAATATGTATTCCAAAATGTGGAGATTCAATTAAAGTAGCAGTTGAGAAATGTGAAGATAGTTTTGTATTACCATATAAAGGATGTTAAAATTGTATTCCTAAGTGTTAATCTTCTTGTTTAAATTGTGATAATAGTGGACTTGGTTGTCTTTAATGTAAATCAGGTTATGATAGAATTGATAATTTATGTTATTCAATATGTGGTGATAGAATAATTACAGATGATGAATAATGTGATGATGCCAATTTTATTATAGATGATGGATGTCATTTATGTTAATTTACTTGTTAACATTCATGTCTCAATTGTATTTAAGGACTTTGTTATAATTGTTAAGATGGTTATCAATTATAATCATTTAAATGTTATCCTATATGTGGAGATGGAATATACTAAAATGATGAATAATGTGAGATATTAGACTAATAATTAATAGAGAAATGTGTAAATTGTGGAGAAGAGTGTGGTAAGTATTGTTAAATTTGTTATTTCGGGAAATGCTAACTCTGTTAAGTTGGATTTTATATGACTCCAAATACTTATATATGTTAAATAGAATATTAAAAAATAGATCGTTGGATTGAATATTGTAAAATATAAATAGGGAATACTTGTGTCTTGTGTGAGGATTTAGCATATTTAGATCAAATTTAAGAAATTTGTAATTTATATTTTGATTCTAAAAAATGTATAAAAAATTGTAGAATTTGCTATGATTAAGTTTGTGTTGAATGTGATACTGGATATTATGGATTTTAATGCATACCTTAATTGGGAGATGGCATAGTAGTTGAAGAAGAAATTTGTTATGATTTAAATAATTAAAAGATGAATGATAATATAGAATGTTATTCTAATTGTGATATCAATTGCATAAGTTGTATAAATGGGATATGTAACCTATGTTTATAAGGATATTATTTATTTAACAATTAGTGTATATCAAATATTATTACTAATATATATTATGTTAATGATAATTTAGATTTATGTGGAGATTAAATAATAAGTATAAATGAAGAATGTGAAGATTAAAATATTAATCCATATGATGGTTGTTATTAATGCAAATTTTAATGTGATGTTAATTGTATTAATTGTCAATTCGGAAAATGTTAAGATTGTTTGACTGGGTATATTCTAAACACTAATTATATTTGTGAACCAGAATGTGGAGATGGTATTTTGATTCCATTTACAAGTGAATAATGCGATAATGAAGATGAAGAATGTTAAAATTGTTAATTTAAATGTTAACCTTATTGTATCTACTGTAATTTACAATAATGTTTGTAATGTTTAAATGGATTTTAAATTAATTTAAATTAATGCATACCTATTTGTGGAGATGGAATTGTAATTAATAACTTTGAAGATTGTGATGATTAAAATGAAGTACAATTTGATGGATGTTTTGATTGCAAATTTTAATGTCAATAAAATTGTGAAATATGCGAATAAGGTAAATGTTTAAACCTAATTTGTCCTTATGGAACAATTTAGTTAGAAGACTAATGCTAATCTATATGTGGAGATAAGATTATTGGAGGGGATGAATAATGTGATGATGGCAATTTAATTCAATATGATGGGTGCTATAATTGTAAATATCAATGTAATTAATATTGTAATATTTGTGAAGAAGGAATATGTTTATAATGTATTATAGATTATGATTTAATTAATGCAATTTGTATCTTATAACAATAGAATGATACTGATAATATTGACTAATCTTAAGATAGCAATACAAGTTTTAATCCTTATGGTCATAATTAATTATATTCAATTCTAGATGAGAATATGATATGCAGAAAATTTGAATGCACATATTCAAAAAAACCTAAGATGAAACTCACTTTTGAATCTTAACATTTTTCTTTTTAATATGTTGATATTACTTTTGACTAATAAATAAAATTTAGTGATCAAGTAATAAATTAAAAAAAGCTATTTAATATAAGTATTTATGATTTAGATCCTAAAGATTACCATATTACAATTAATTCAATTTAAGATATTTCATATGATCTTTAAAATGCTTAGTATTAAGTTATCATTGAAATATTTCAACAACTTTAAAATAGACCAATCCTTTTCATTTTAATAAATTAAGAAATTATTAACTCAAATAATTAGTCACTGTAAAATAATAATTAATCAATTACTCTTTAATTACCAAAAGTAATTACTGAATCAATAAAATAAACATCCATTAAAGCATAATAGTCTAATAAAGCATTTATGATTGGAGCTATTATTTTATGTTTAATTTCTTTAGTTTCAGGTGATAGTTCTGTTGTAGTTGAAACCTTAAATATACTATAATATCAATCTTTCTTAAGATTTATTAATGTTGAGTATCCTGAAAACCTATATATATATTTTTAAGCTTAAGACTTGTTATCAATTACTTCTTATTTATAATTTATCTAGTTAGATGATTATTTAAATTTAATAACAAGGAAAGAATAATAGATTGATTTAAGTGGAAAATTTAAAAAATATAATATAGAAGCTGATCTTTTTACAAATATATTACCATAGATAATATAAATTATTGGATTGATAACACTACTTCGTTTTACAAAAAAATTGTATAATTTATTATTGAAATTATAAAAGTTTAAGGAGGTTATTTACTAAGCTAGATCTCCAAAATACAAGATTTTAATTGTACTTATTAATTTAATACTTTATTTTGGAACTAATATCAAATTCTTAATTAAAATAAAATATCTTTAAAATTATGAATCAATTCAATAACTTATTTACTTAAATTCATGGGATTTGATATTTAAAATAATTTTACAACTTCATTATAATCGAATTGATAATCTAAGAAGTATTTTAACTACTTCTTTTGCAGCTTCAATATTTGTTCTATATATAAACTTTTTACTATAATTATTTAGATAATGCAGTGACATTTATAACAAAAACACTAAATAAAAGTTCGAAATTAAATTTATTACATTAGATATGTGCAGAACTTTATTTTTCCACATTGTTTTAATACTATTCTAAGATCAATAATTCTTATAGTGTTTACTAATCTCTGTTAGTAGTTTAACTTAATGTTATTTAATATTTTAATATAAATAATGTTCTAAATTGGATAGAATTATATCTTTATTAATTGAAGGAACTTTATCAGTGTTTAGTTTAAGTTTATTTTTTTATATTGAAAATGAGTAAGTTTATGTTTCTTATGAAAACCAAATTACTTTAGGATTTATTCACATGAACTTATTGATTTTAAGTCTTGTAATAGTTTTTGCAAAGCATTTGATACCTAAAATAAGTAAGATATGCAAATTCATGTGTAAGAAGAGGCAAGCAAAAGAGGCTAGCAATTTACTATTTTTATGAAGAATTATATAATTAAATTTATAAATTAATTCCCAATATTTTTTAATAAAACATTAAATAATATATCAATAATAAAATATTTTATTAATGATTCTTAATTTAAACAATTATATTAAAGATCAAAAAGGATCATCTAAATTAACCTATTTAAAAATTTTCATTTGCCATTCTAATATAGATGAAAATTCTAAATAGAATAACAAAAATATTATAATCTTTTTGTTTTAGAATATTTCATTAGATTCTTATCTTCATTTAGTTTAGAATATAAAATAAATTTTGAATGATATTTAAATATTCTCATCTATATCTTTTCAATTAAGGATCCTCTTTATTCTTTTTAACTAAATTCAGTTAATTCTTCTAAATGCATTTCTTTAATTTGTTAAATATTGGAAATAGTCATAAATAAGATTTGATAATTAGTTAAAATTAATTTAATTCAAGTTCGATTTTTCATCTGTTAATTTTTCCAAATATGATTTTGAGATTTGAATAAAAAAAATTATCTATATTTATCTATTGTATTGTATTTGTTTACATGATTAAATTCTAAATAGATTTATAATTCAAGATCATATATTCTCTTTTAATTTTAATAGCTAATTCCAAATAATAAAACTTCAATTTATAACATAAAAATAAATGGGATGTGTAAAATCAAATGGAAATAAAAAAGTAAAGAATTGTACAATATACAGTTAGAAGACATGAAATAAGGTTTTGTTATTAGAATCCTGCATCCTGATAATAGAACTGAGAAGCAGTATAAATACTTTGATGAGAAATAAAAGAGTGATCTTATTATGAATGTTATGAATGGAATATGTTTCAGTGAGAAAGTTTCTGATAAATGTGATGGTAATTTTATCTCAGTTTATGATCCTGCTGATGATCGGTTTCACTATTACATATAAAAATTAGATGGTACAGCTTAGAATACTAAAAGCACTAGGAATAGAAATAGATAACCCGAATGAACCTCTGAAAGGAAGAATTTGGGTACCATATATAAATGAAAAAAAATCAGATTGGGATATATTAGTAGAAAATAACACTAGAATATCAATAACAGATCACTTATTATGGAAATTAGAAGCTGTGAAAAAGTGAATGATAATTAATTTATTATGTTATGATTAGAATAATTATCACATTTCAACATCTTTAGAATAACTAACAGGATGTTTTCTAGCTTTTCTTTCTCTCTTCTTTCTACGAGCAGCATCAACTCTACTTTCTGGTTTTTTAATTACTTTTTTCTAAACTTAAAATATGTTATACCTCTTTCTTTGTTTTCTTGTTCTTTTTGTCTTTTTTAATTTTCTTCTTTAATCCAAAGACATGTTCTTCAGAATCAATTTCTAAATCATCTAAATCATCAATCCATTTATTCTCTTCTTTCTCTGCTTTTCTCTGTTATTTCAATTCTTTCTTTTTTTATTCTTCCTCTTCCCTTTATAATATAAATGCATGTTAAGCCTTCTTTTTTGATTTATTATTTTTTCTTGCCATTAAATATAATTTTATGAGATTCTAATTATTACTATATAGTTTGAATTAGTATGGATCATAAATATATTATATATAAATCAAATTAGAAACCATGCGCATATTATTTGATTACTTCCATTTAAGATGCTATACCAATCTAATATTTCATATGAATGACATAATTACATTAAAATAGAAGATGGAAAATTCTAAAACCAATTTTCATTTAGAATTAAACTTGAACCAATTATAGTTATCAAGAATTGAATATTTTATGAATTTAATAATTAAGAAAATATACTAGAAATTTGAATGGAAAGTATGTAAATAAGTTTAAGTTTTCTACAATATCTTATTTTTGGCTTACTTTTTAATCTGATCCCTACACATGGTTTATAGTAATCAATAAATTAGAATAAATTCCATAATTTTCTATACATAAAAATTTAGTTCTTATTGAAATACTTTTTTATATTTCTGTTCAAAAAAACTTATAAGTTTTAATGAATTTTAAGTAAATAGTGATCCTTTCTTCAATAGGAGCTAAAATAAAATACGTAAAAATGAATAATTAATTAGTTCTTTGAAATATACTTTAATTGAAGCTTCTTAGTATCAAGTAAGATTAATAAATATTATAATTTATATAAATGTTCATTAACGCTATGTGTGAATTGAAAAAATCAAAATATAATTAATATATAAAATTTAACTGATAAATTTATGTAGAGTTTGATTTCCTATTAATAAGTAATAAGAAATTAATTAAAAAAATTGTTTTCAATCAATCTTTTTAAAATGATTAAAAAGTTAGTTAAAAATGTAAAAAATGTTTATTAAATATCTTACGGATTAATAACAGAATTCTTAATTCATTTATAAATTATAAGTAGATATTAATAAAAATTAAATGTTTATTTGCTGCAAAACCAAACCAAAGAAAGACAAGTAGATTATGTTTCTAAATAATTATAGTAAATCATAGAAAAATGGATCCACAGCTGCAAATTCTGATGCTGAATCACTTAAGCATAGCAAATGTGAAGAAGAGATACATAAAGAGCCATTTCAAGAGATTGGAAACAAATCACAATAGACTGAGAAAGTCAAAAAGCTTTAGGAGATTTAAAACAAAGTTAACAGAATCAAAACATACAGAAACCAAGGCAACATTAATTTAAGGTATTTAAAATATTAAGTTCTATAGTATAGAAATTGAAAAATCATTCGTAACTTCTTTAATTGAATAGGATTTACCAACAACTTATTTTGTTGAGTACAGATGGGCTGTAAATTATACTAAATTCTTGGAAAGAATTATATAAGAAGTACCTTAAACAATTAATAATGATAAATTATTGACTGAAGAAAATGCTGAAAAAGAGCAAGTCATTATCAAATCAGAAAAGGATTCTTAACTTCTACCAGGGTTATAACCAGATAGACATTATGTACTTTTGAATGAGTATTCATGGATTTTTATACATCTTTTGTATGGTGGAGGACCAACAATAATGATTAATTTAGAAACACAAGTGATGTCACCAGATATTTTCAATGATGGCTAAACTAATGTTACTCTCCATACAGCAAACCCTTCCAAAATTTCATTTGAACCTATTATAGAAATATCAAAATAAGAGATATAATTATTAGAGGATTAAGATAAATCCACAAATTAAAGATAAATTTCTTAAAAAACAAATTCAATAAAAATTCAACCTAAACCTTATGAACTACCTTATGTTGGTCTAAATAATCCAAAATATTATTGTTACATGAATTCAGCATTATAATGTTTGTTGAGTATAAAAGAATTAAATAATTGCTTATTAAAATAGTAAAAATAATAAAATAAGAAATTTACTAAGGCTTATCAAGACATATTAAAACTTGTATAAAATTCCATACCAGGATCAGCTATATCTGTTGACAAACTTTAAAATATGTGCTTAAATAAATTTAAATATTCTTAATAACAAGATGCTCATGAATTCTTATTGTATCTCCTTTCAGAAATCTAAGAAGAACTTGTTGGAAAAAAGAAATATTAAAAAGAAGAATTTCCAAATGCTTAATAGGCTTGGGATGTTTATAAAAGTAGAAATTCTGATATTATAACTGATCTATTTGCTGGTTAGATAGCAAGTAAATCCCATTGTTCATAATGTTAAGAGATTAGTGAGGGATTTGATCCAATTATAGATTTGAATCTTCCTTTATTCAAAAAAAGTATTCCTCGAGAAATTAAATTATATGATTGTCTCTAGAATTACTTTAAAGAAGAATAAATAAATGATGTTTGGAAATGTGATAAATGTTAATTTGTAAATAAATCTGTTCTAAGGAAAATCTAAATAACTTAGACTCCAAAATATCTGATACTTCATCTTAAACGATTTACTCAAAATCCTAAGAGTTAAAAGATAATAGATGAAGTTAAATATCCAGAAATTCTAGATATAAAGGAGTTTTGTGAAGAAACTGTAGAATACACAAAATATGCTTTAAAAGGTGTGATCTCTCATATGGGTTAGTTAAATGGAGGTCATTATGTTGCATATGCTTAAAGATAAAATTAATGGTATCATTTTGATGACAACATTGTAACAAAAGATAAAAATAATTAACATCTCTCAGATAAAGGGGCTTATATAATTTTGTATGAATAACAATGATCTATTATTTTCCCTTTTGAATCTTATTACTTATAATAATCAATCAAAATTTATATTAAACTCACTAATTTATTTTTTTCTCATCTTTTAATACTTAAAGTCTCCAACTTTCTGAAAACTCATTAAATTTCATCATAAATTCTTAATGAAATCCTTAAGGATCTTATTCAGGTATTTTTAATTTATTTATATTATTCTATTGTTATTATTATTGTTTTTTAATTAATTATTATTATTATAACTATTATAACTATTATATTTTTTATTGATGTTGATTACATTTTGATAGATCAATTTTCATCCTTACAGAACTTTTGCTTTCTTAAGCATATGTATTATTTTAAATTCTATTTTCAAATCTTCGGATACTTTCTACAATACTTTCATCATCCAATCTTCCATTATATTGGAAACTAGATTCATCTGAATCATTAACTACTGAATTATCTGCATCATTAAAACTCTTTTCTAATTTTGTAATCATCTATCTAACATTTAAAATTGATCTTACTTTTTATCTCTAATAGAATGATTCTGTTATTCTGATATTGAATCTTCATTTAGAACTTCTTCATTATATATTTTTTCAATATCAATACCTGATCTTTTTATAGCTAATACTAATTTAATTAATTTAGATTCCTTATCAGACATTTCCTAAATCTTATCTTACATTAATTATGCCATTTCTTTCAATTAATGTGTTTCTAATTAATCTAAATCTTTTGGTTTTTTAGTTTATTATTATTATTATTATTAAGGTTTTATCTTCTCTAATGTTTATTTTAATTAAGATACTGTCTCTAATAAGATGTCTCTTTCTTATTCAAGAGATTTATAATTATTTTACCAAATATCTCTTTCTCTTCTCATTTATTCTATCATCTCATTTAATTTTAAGTCCTATTCATATGACATTAGAACTGCAGAATTTTACATCAATTCAAATATATTATTAGTAATATTCATTGTTACATCTTGCCATTGTTATTCAATCTCTCTTACCTGAATTTACAATAAATTTAAGGAAGACTTATATTATAATGATGTTCTTGCAAATTATTTATTGAATAAATCTTTAAAAGGTTCCCATAATCCTCTTGATTTTAAGTATAGTAATTTTTTTTATTGTTCTTGAACTGTTCCTTATATTTATTTATCTAAATTCATTAATTATTCCATTAACTCTTTTGATTAACTAAATTACAATTAGTATGCTCTTTTTTGCATTAATGTTTTTTCTCTCAACATATTAATTTAAGCTATGTCTAAATCATTCTACTTTTTGTATCCTGATTTATTCTATCTGACTCCTGGACTTGTTGAATCACATGTCAAATTAGATTTTGAGCTAAAAATGTGTTGTTATTAAATTCTACATATATAGATGAGTATTCAAAGTCTATGAATCTCCTATTAATTTTTTTAATTTTAAAGCATTTTATGAACTATACATTGATTCATCCTCTATTTGATTGCTTGTGAATGCAGATATACGACTTTTAGAACTGCTGTTAGTTCTATTATTAATTTCTGAAAAATTATTTTTATTTGACTTATATCTCTTCTCTTCAATAGATTTTGAAATTGTAGGCTATGGCTTAAATCTCTGTTAACAATATTTTTATGGTATATGAAACAATTAACTGGACTCTGGTATACTAACAGTCTGGTAAATATTTAATATCAAATACTGGTTGTGATTGTTATTTTTTATAATCTTAAGTAGAAGCCTTAGAAGCAGTTTCTTTAACACTATTTGGAGTTGTCCTCATGATCAAAGTTCGATAATTAATTAAAATATTATGTATTATAAATTTACAACTTTTTAATACTCAACTATAAACTGTAATTAAAGTATAACTATATTAATATTATCCATATTTTGAATAAAATCATTAATAGAAATGGTCTAAAAGTTTGCCTCAATTATAAATTGTCTTTGAGTAAGATAAATTTTTATATTTATTACTATTCTGTAATAAATTTTATTATAAAGATTTATTTGATTAAAGAATGGAATGTTTATAATACTTTTTTTCGATTGAAATGGTATTTTTATTTTACTAATTCGAATAAAAATTTGTTGGCAATTTTAATTTACAATGATATTCATTTTTCTTTTAGGATCAGCAAAATCTTTTATTCCTTTTTTAAATTCAATCAATTATGGAAACTCATAACATACTTGTGTATTTGTTATTTTTCAATACATTTATATGAGAATTGAAAGTAATATATGCACAAAATTGTTGATAACATTTTTATATTCAACTAATAATCATGAATTTTTCAAATATGGTAAGTGGTCTCACATCACTTTGATATTTTTTCTCTGTCCAATACACACAGGATTCTATTAATTAAATTTTGGTGTTGTTGTAGGTGATTCTTTATTTGAAGCTATAAATTTCTTATCCCTTTTCAAAATGAACTCTTCATCATTTGTTATATCAATTGATCTACACTATAAAATTGGTTTATTGTTATCTATTGGGTTTGGGGATTCAATAATAACTTTTTTATTTTGATGAACATTGGAAAAAGATTAACTGTGGAATCGAAATTTATTTTGCTTTTAAATTGGACTTTATTTTTAAGTAACACAACCCATATCCAATAAAATTATGATTATTAATTATTTATATATAATTAATTGAGTCGAATTAGAATTATATTCCTAATTATTCATCAATTTAGAAATCAATTTTTATTAAACTAGAGAACATATATATATATATATTAATTATTTATTAAATAAAATGAGTACCATAATTCTTAGAATTGTGACTAATTCTAAGTAAATGTTTATATTCAATCTAAATATCCAAGTCAAAATAATAATTTGCCCTTTTCTGTCTCAAAGAGAATCTAACTCTTATTTCAAAGCATCATTATTTATTATTTAAATACCTCTAAAAATTATTTTTTTTTAATTAGAAATTCAGGTAAGATATTTGAGTTTGTTTACTGATGTGTCTTATTTTTGTATTTTAAGTTCATAAGTATATAATTTTTAATGACTTAATATGTAGTTGATTTAAAAAATGAAATAAATTGAATAGGAATATCATGTATTATATGGTCATAAATCAACATAGAAGTGATTCCTTCAAGAATTTCTAGTCAGAAAGGATCCAGGATTAGTTAAAGGACTTTTCTAACTTGCTCTTCTTTGTAGAATAGGATTTTTATTGATTTTAAATATTTTAAGTTCAGCCTTTGAATCTTCACTTTTTAACTTGGATTATTGATATTAAATATCCAAAGGGCTTAAAGCAGTCTTTTTTTAAGATTTGGTAGCAACACAGCCCATGAAATGAAAAATCTTTATAAATTAATATAAATATATTTGAATATTTATTACCAAGCATAATTAACTATGAAAAATTTAAGATTTTCAATTAAAGTAATATTGATGATTCCTTAAATGGAATTTTTTATATTTTATTATTATTTAATTTAATATTGATTTTTTAAATGGGTTGTAATTCAACAAAATCAAGTGGAGAGTAGCTTGAATAATGTGAGGATATCAAAAGAATTACAAAATAATCAAGTGAGTTAATAGAAATTTAGTAAAATATTCTTAAGCACTTAAATAAATAATAATGCCAAAAAAGAACTAGTGTTACGTCTCTATAAAGTACTCTATCATCAAGCAGTATATAATAATTTAACAAATAGAAAATTCAAGATTAAGTAATTAAAAATCTGAAATGACATTGTCAACTATTGTTCTTTAGACAGAAGTAGGACCATAGTAGTTAAATAAAAAATTGGCATTGTGAATCGAATCAGTTAGGGAATATTTGATTTTTTAATCTTTTTCTATATCATACATATTTAATTTGCTTTTGTAAGTGAAGAATAAATAATACAAGAAATAAGAAAATATTCAATTCATAGTTTTGGGCTGTTCATCAAAGATTGTTTTCTTCTTTATTCAGGGGAGTTTTTGATATACCCAAAGTGGCTTTAGGGATTGCTGTGTTTTTTATTAATGAACTTATTAAGCTCATCGCTGCTGGCCATGTGTTTGAGTCTTCTACCGATTTGCACTTATTATTATTGAGATACAAAATTTTCTGATTCCTTAATATCACTCTTTTATCCATGTGTCAGACCATCTTATTCATTAGCTATTCTAGCACTTTCTAGGATTTCTTGAGGAGCTTAACAAAGTTTATTTGATTAACTTTTAGATTTCTAAACATTACATCCCATATTATGATTTCAAAGTAAACTAATAAAATTGCTGATAATTTATTAATCATATTTAATTGGTTTAAACATTAAATGACTAAATTGCGTTGAATCACATTCAAATGTATGTAAATTAATTCTATATTAGATTTGAAAAAATATTTTTTGGATTTATCCAAATCTTTTTTTTGTTTTATAATTAATATGATGTAATATAGAGAATTCAATTAATTTTAATTATCAATTGTAATTTATATATAATTATATAATCACTCTAATTTTTATTAACTTTTAATTGTTTTCAATCTTTTTTATTTTAATAAATAAATCATTTTTGATAATTAATAGTCAGCTAAGTACTTTGATATATATATTTTCTTATTATTTCTAAATTTGTTTGCCCTTAATAATTTATTAATATATATATATACTTGTAAATAGTAATGTCATAATTATTATGAGGTAAATAGTCATCAAAAAAACACATAGAATCAAAATTATTAAGTCCAAATGAATTATTAGCATAAACGGGTAACTTAATAAATTAAAAATAAGTACATCCACATTACTAAATGGTTAGAAACTAGAAGGGATAACAGATATTTTAGTTCCAGTTTTAGTTGATATTTTCCTAATTGAAGGTCTTTATTATTAACTTCTACTATCATCAAAATTGGCAATCTCAACTTAACGAGTTTATTAAATTAATTTTTATGGGAATGAAAATGTAGATTTTCTATTTTACTTAGAGGAAGGTTTTCCTGATTTATATTAACTATTTGAAGGGATAGGACTATAAGTAAGTGATCTTGAAGAATTTTCACGTTAACTTATAACATCTGGATATTTATATGTACTATTTCTTGAACTTTACTATAGAATAGAACCAGATCCTAAACGGGATAAACGAGGTTAACTTTAATTTTACTTTTGAAGTTCGTTCATTTAAGTTTCAAAATTGTAATTAAATGTTAATTTTGGATCATTTTTCTTCCTTTCAAATTTGTCTTATGGAGAATCAACAACATTCTCTTCCTCTACTGACTTAGAGTTGGATTCTGAGATGCTGTCAGAATTTTCATGTTCCAAAATAATATTTAATGATTTTTATGTTAAATCTTTATTTGAAGCAGCTAAACTTTAAGATCCAAATCCAGCAGTTGCAAATGTTCTTTTCTATTGTTCAGTTCTGAATAATGATGCGAATTCATCATAATTTTTATCTTATTTACCATTTATAATTTGAAATTCTTTATCTTAATCTAAATTAGAGCTTTTAATGATTTTTATGAATACAATATATTTTCTGTGTTATTTGGGAAAGATTATTATTCATAACCTGATTGTTATTTCATAAATGAAGTGGACTTGACAACTGATCTATCTCTACTTAATTTTGTTAAACTTCTTGCACTTATATATGAATCTCTAATAGCTAAATCATCATATGGAAATTAGGATTGGCTAAGTTATGACATCTATAATTGATCTGAAAATAATTTTAAAAATGCCACTTCATATTAAGATGCACATTAATAAAACTTTAATGCACTCATATCTTTATATATTCTTCTTTAATCTATTTATTATATATTATAAATAAATATATACATTATTTTCTAAATTATTTATGTGGATAAGTAAACTTTTTTATAATACAATTCTTATCTGGCCTATATGTCAATAATGGACATTTTGTAATAATATGATCATCATCCAAACAACAAGGACATTTAATAGGCAAACCTAAATTGAAAATGATTTTATCTCTCTATTGATAAAATATTTACTATATATTAATATCAGTTTAATTGTACTTTGTCATTAAAGCTCAAAATTTCTAAGAATATTGATCTTTCGATTTTCAATAGTCTTGTTACTCCTTCACTTTAAATTGTAATATTTCTAGGTTTTTAAGTATAAAATTCTATTTCACCAAATGAATTATTTTATTTCAAAATCTATAAATTGATATTATTTCTGGATTTCAAATACACAGAGCCTTCTAATATGAAATATAAAGAACAATCATCTAATACTCCTTCTTATATTATATTTTAATTAGGTTAACAAACAATTTCGTAACTATTATTAATAATTGATTAAATGGTCCTTTTATTAAATTGTTTAAAATATGAGTATAATAATTTGGATCTTTGACTAACTTTATATTCTTAATTTAAATTACTGGATAATTATGATATAAATTTATCATGATTATATTATGGTTGATAAAGCAAATGACTCAATATTTTTTGTTTAAGAGTTGAATCCAAGTTAGTTTATGTCATAAATTCACTTAATTATTATTCTAATTCTTTATCTTTAAATATTGTAAGCATTTTAGCTAAGAAGTAGGCTAAGAAAAGTAATGAGATAAATGAAATAACAGCATAAACAATAATGCTCTAATTTTTATTGATATCAATTAAAGTAGAATTGAATGTCAAAATACTTAATACATAGTATAAGGAATGTAGATATTATTCTAAGAAGGTATTCTCATCTTCATCTAACAAATTGAATAGCCAAAAACAAGTTAAAGCATGGACCAGTAATATCGCTTTTATTATCATAATTACTAATAGTGACAATTAATTAAAGATATTATATTCACTATGATTATATGAATATATACAATTAGATTTGCTTTTATATTTATGTAAATCTAGGGATAATACTTAGTATATTAATTATAATGCTCCAGTAATTGTATTAAAATAGGATGGTAATTATAAACAACTATGTAAATATTTATATATTTTACTAGATCAAATATCAATTAGTATTTACAGTAATGATTTATGATGGATATTAAGTGAGTTTAAATATATCCATTTATTGCAAATGTTGATAGTGAGTTAATAATTGCATCTATGAGTTTGAGAGTGAGAAATATAACATAAATGTTTGAAAATTTTAATGGAATGATTATAATCTGAACTATCATTATCAATAAATAAAAGAGACTCCAATATTTATGTAATTTTGAGTTGGGCTATAAGACAACTAGAAATGTAGATAGTTAATACATGATGATATATTATCTTATTGACCCAAATCAAAAATATAGGAATATTTCTTTGCTTTTTCATTAATGTTGAATTTTTCCTTGAAAAGATCTGCAAATTTTGGTTTGAGTTTCTTTTGGTTTTAGAAACCTTTAGTAGTCTCATAACTTTTTTAGGTAAATGCCAATAATTGAAAGTTACTGGGTTCTTAGATGAAGGAAAACCTTTCATTTAATATCTGAAAAATGTAAATAAAAAGGAAACCTCATGATTGGCATTAAAGGGTGATTAACACAATCTAGATCGATCTAATGTCTTTACAGTTGGGTCTTTAACTGAGTAATCATCCTCAGGTTATCCTGGATGGTCTATAGTAAATGGTGTATATTAAAATGGACCTATTTATAATTTACACATTACCTTTCATTTAATCATAATTATTTTATACTGGTTCTGTTTTTGTAGAGTTTACTTATTAATTTATCATAAAGATAGAAGATTATTAATTAAATAATTAATTAATAATGTTAGTGGATTATAGTGATGATGAACAAGAGATCATGGACAACAAACCAAAGTCAATATTGGTGAATCCTGAGGTTGATTGTTCACATTTGGTGAAGAAGAAAGAGGAGGAGAAAGCTCTTGAATTATCAAAGACATATAATTTTTTGGGATAGAAAAAGAATCATTTAACAGGAAATGTTGAATCAGTATATTACAATGATGCAGTATTCGAGGAATAATTTCATAAATTTAATGTATATGGTTTTGCAGTGGATCCAAATGGTATAATGATAAATTTAAATTAGAAAGAAATAGAAGAGTGATAGCATGTAATTAAAAATAAGAGGAATTATCTACTTTAATGAAAGAAGGTTATGATGTAGATGCAGCAGATCCATTATTTAGTAAAAATGTACTTGCAGGTATGCATAAAGAAGATAAATTAAAATAATAAGAATTAAAATAAAATAGAGTGAAAGCAAATGATCCATCTAAAGGAGAATTTATGGGACCTTGGGCAGGATAATAAGATGAATAATTTGAAAATATATAAATGAATGAAGAATAATAAAAATTATTAGATTAATTAGAAGAATAAAGAAAATAAAAGATAGATGAATCAAAAAAATAAGAAGAAAATTTTGTACCTTATATGGAATAACATGTAAGTTAAACAGAATAATTTGGTGGAAGATAATTTATAGCACCTCCACCTGAATTAAAATATGTTGATCATACATGTTATATACCAAAAAGATGTATATAAACATTTCATGGTCATACTAAAGGTGTATAAGTATGCAAATTTTTTCCTAAATTTGGTCATTTAATGTTGAGTGGTAGTTTAGATCATAAAATTAAAATGTGGGATATTATTGGTAATAAATAATGTGTTAGAACATATTATGGTCATTAAGGAGCATTAAGAGATCTCAACTTCTCTAATGATGGTAGAACATTTTTATCTGCTGGTTATGATAAAAAGATACTTGTATGGGATACAGAATACGGTAAAGTTACTTAAACTATCAATTTATAACATTTCCCTTATTGTGTAAGATTAAATCCAGATCCAGCTAAATAACATTCTTTTCTTTTAGGATCATCAGATAAAAGAATTAAATAATTTGATATTAGAAGTGGATAATAAACATTAGTTTATGATGAACATTTACAAGCTATTAACACTATTACATATTTTAATTAAAATAGAAAATTTGTTTCTAGTTCTGATGATAAAAAATTATTCATTTGGGAATTTGGCATCCCTGTTGTTATAAAACACATTAGTGATCCTGAAATGCATGCAGTTACAGCTACTGCTGTTAATCCATCTGGACTTAATTGGGTTGGATAATAGAGTAACAATTTAGTAATTTATTAATAATAATAATTAAGATTATAGTTTANAAGACATATAATTTTTTGGGATAGAAAAAGAATCATTTAACAGGAAATGTTGAATCAGTATATTACAATGATGCAGTATTCGAGGAATAATTTCATAAATTTAATGTATATGGTTTTGCAGTGGATCCAAATGGTATAATGATAAATTTAAATTAGAAAGAAATAGAAGAGTGATAGCATGTAATTAAAAATAAGAGGAATTATCTACTTTAATGAAAGAAGGTTATGATGTAGATGCAGCAGATCCATTATTTAGTAAAAATGTACTTGCAGGTATGCATAAAGAAGATAAATTAAAATAATAAGAATTAAAATAAAATAGAGTGAAAGCAAATGATCCATCTAAAGGAGAATTTATGGGACCTTGGGCAGGATAATAAGATGAATAATTTGAAAATATATAAATGAATGAAGAATAATAAAAATTATTAGATTAATTAGAAGAATAAAGAAAATAAAAGATAGATGAATCAAAAAAATAAGAAGAAAATTTTGTACCTTATATGGAATAACATGTAAGTTAAACAGAATAATTTGGTGGAAGATAATTTATAGCACCTCCACCTGAATTAAAATATGTTGATCATACATGTTATATACCAAAAAGATGTATATAAACATTTCATGGTCATACTAAAGGTGTATAAGTATGCAAATTTTTTCCTAAATTTGGTCATTTAATGTTGAGTGGTAGTTTAGATCATAAAATTAAAATGTGGGATATTATTGGTAATAAATAATGTGTTAGAACATATTATGGTCATTAAGGAGCATTAAGAGATCTCAACTTCTCTAATGATGGTAGAACATTTTTATCTGCTGGTTATGATAAAAAGATACTTGTATGGGATACAGAATACGGTAAAGTTACTTAAACTATCAATTTATAACATTTCCCTTATTGTGTAAGATTAAATCCAGATCCAGCTAAATAACATTCTTTTCTTTTAGGATCATCAGATAAAAGAATTAAATAATTTGATATTAGAAGTGGATAATAAACATTAGTTTATGATGAACATTTACAAGCTATTAACACTATTACATATTTTAATTAAAATAGAAAATTTGTTTCTAGTTCTGATGATAAAAAATTATTCATTTGGGAATTTGGCATCCCTGTTGTTATAAAACACATTAGTGATCCTGAAATGCATGCAGTTACAGCTACTGCTGTTAATCCATCTGGACTTAATTGGGTTGGATAATAGAGTAACAATTTAGTAATTTATTAATAATAATAATTAAGATTATAGTTTATGATACTAAAGCTGGAAATTTCAGAATGAATAGAAAGAAGAATTTTAAAGGACATGTATCTGCAGGATATGCATGTGGAGTTACATTCTCAGCTGATGGTTAATTTTTAGCATCTGGTGATTCAGAAGGTAGAGTTNAAGACATATAATTTTTTGGGATAGAAAAAGAATCATTTAACAGGAAATGTTGAATCAGTATATTACAATGATGCAGTATTCGAGGAATAATTTCATAAATTTAATGTATATGGTTTTGCAGTGGATCCAAATGGTATAATGATAAATTTAAATTAGAAAGAAATAGAAGAGTGATAGCATGTAATTAAAAATAAGAGGAATTATCTACTTTAATGAAAGAAGGTTATGATGTAGATGCAGCAGATCCATTATTTAGTAAAAATGTACTTGCAGGTATGCATAAAGAAGATAAATTAAAATAATAAGAATTAAAATAAAATAGAGTGAAAGCAAATGATCCATCTAAAGGAGAATTTATGGGACCTTGGGCAGGATAATAAGATGAATAATTTGAAAATATATAAATGAATGAAGAATAATAAAAATTATTAGATTAATTAGAAGAATAAAGAAAATAAAAGATAGATGAATCAAAAAAATAAGAAGAAAATTTTGTACCTTATATGGAATAACATGTAAGTTAAACAGAATAATTTGGTGGAAGATAATTTATAGCACCTCCACCTGAATTAAAATATGTTGATCATACATGTTATATACCAAAAAGATGTATATAAACATTTCATGGTCATACTAAAGGTGTATAAGTATGCAAATTTTTTCCTAAATTTGGTCATTTAATGTTGAGTGGTAGTTTAGATCATAAAATTAAAATGTGGGATATTATTGGTAATAAATAATGTGTTAGAACATATTATGGTCATTAAGGAGCATTAAGAGATCTCAACTTCTCTAATGATGGTAGAACATTTTTATCTGCTGGTTATGATAAAAAGATTCTTGTATGGGATACAGAATATGGTAAAGTTACTTAAACTATTAATTTATAACATTTCCCTTATTGTGTAAGACTAAATCCAGATCCAGCTAAATAACATTCTTTTCTTTTAGGATCATCAGATAAAAGAATTAAATAATTTGATATTAGAAGTGGATAATAAACATTAGTTTATGATGAACATTTACAAGCTATTAACACTATTACATATTTTAATTAAAATAGAAAATTTGTTTCTAGTTCTGATGATAAAAAATTATTCATTTGGGAATTTGGCATCCCTGTTGTTATAAAACACATTAGTGATCCTGAAATGCATGCAGTTACAGCTACTGCTGTTAATCCATCTGGACTTAATTGGGTTGGATAATAGAGTAACAATTTAGTAATTTATTAATAATAATAATTAAGATTATAGTTTATGATACTAAAGCTGGAAATTTCAGAATGAATAGAAAGAAGAATTTTAAAGGACATGTATCTGCAGGATATGCATGTGGAGTTACATTCTCAGCTGATGGTTAATTTTTAGCATCTGGTGATTCAGAAGGTAGAGTTTTCTTTTGGGATTGGAAAACAGCCAAAAGTTATAGAACTATATAAGTAATAATATCATTTTTAATAATTAGGCACATGATAATGTTTGTATAGGTGTTGAATGGCATCCTATTGAACCTAGTAAAGTAGTTACTTGTGGATGGGATGGAGTACTTAAATTATGGGATTGATTATCAGTTTTAAATTAATGTAGGTATATAATCACCAATCACAAAATTTTTGGTTTTATGGAAATTTTATTATTCATTATATTCAAACGTACTGTATCACATTCTTCTAATTATTCAGTATAAAATATGTCTAATTGGTCCTTCAAAAAAGTATCTTCTGAAAAATAATCAAATTTTGCTTAACAAATATCACAATTTCTTTCATTTAGATTTATTTATCCTTCTTGATGCATATCTAATATTGAAAAATCATAAGGCTATGCATGAGTACAATTATTTCCTCTTATTGGTCTTGTAATCCTCTTTTTTGATATAGGACACTATATTCACATATATTATTTTACTTCCAATTTCATAGATGTTATGGCTTATTTACCTTTCAAAATTGATTCTTAGTCTTTTTTTAAAATCACTTTTGTAATCACTTTATCTTATAAATAATTTATGAAGTCTTTTTTATTGATATTAGCAAATCCTGTTGTTATGGTAAAAAAATTCATCATTTTTACATCTACATACACTTGTTCAAATATAGGAGTATCTTTTGGCTTAATTTTCTTTGTGAAAGGATTGTTACAAAGAGGACATTTATCTGTGACTTTATCACCAATTTTTATATCAGCAGGATTTTAAAATTGATTCAAAATACAACTCATATATCTTAGATCACAAGTTTAAACTTATTCACATCGAATACATCTACAAGGCAATTCTATTCTCTAATCTGTAAATTAGCAAAATTTTAATTCTAAATTTTAATTCTTAATATTTTCTAATGAATATTTCTTATAAAATTCTTCTGTCTTATCTTAATTAATAGGACTTGTGTAAATCTAATCTACTATCTTATAAATTTTAGATTAAAAATTTAAATATTCTTAAGTTTAATCAATTTTACGATACTTTTATAGATTAATATCTTATTTTTCTTCCAAAATATCTTCCAATTTTCTTTTTTCTTTGTTATATATAAATGAAAATCTAAAACTATATGATTTCAAACAGCTATTAAATAAATCTTGATCTAAAATTAAATCTTCTTCTTTTATTATTGAATTGCAACCAGGTCTTTTGCATTAAAATTGTTTCTCTTTTTTATCAAAATGAATCAATAAGGCTGTTAAATCATATACCTCAAAATGTTTGCATTATTAACTTCTAACTGGTATCATTACTTTTATAGAACTCAAAGAACAATTATTATAAAATAAAAAGCTACAATTCACATTGAAGTTCTTAACCATTTAATAAAATTAATTTTCAGGTTTAATCTCTCTTTTCATAAATTTTCCAATCTATTCAAAATAACTATTCTAAGCAATTCCCATTTTTCCTTTATGCAATGGATAATACGTTTTATCTATAAAATTATACATTATTTATCTTGGAAATTCTCCACACTATCTCTAAAAACATAATAAATACTTTTGTTCTTAATTCATTTATTATAACATGAGGAAAGAAGGCATCTTCTATTTTTTCAAACTTAGTCACAGTTTTACATATGGGACATGAAAATTATTTCTGTTATTATTATTCAAGTTTGGAATAATTTAATTTTAAAAATTACTCCAAATCAAACACTCCATCATAATGTTTGAAAGTTTTAAAACATTCATATAAAAAGACCTTTTTTCTATTAATTTTTTATTAATACAGCATATTTTAAAGTTTCTTTTGTTAAACTACACTCAAAATTTACAGTCATCGTTGATGTTAGACCACTAAATTTTTTGGTTCTCTCTTCAAAATCTGAATTTGCATTTTTTAATGCTGAATGAGCTTTTTAAATTGCTTATAGTATTTCTGATATGCTCCTCAAAGGTTAAACAGGCTAAGGCGCAGTTTAAGGCAAAGGCTAAGGCAAAAGCTATTGCATAATTTTTATTTTAATTATTAAAAGATTAATTAAAGAAAAAAATTAAAAAAAACAATATTTTATTCCCTGGTTAATTCTAACTTGAAAGAACAATCAAAGTATATTAATTACATCAACTATTAAATATTTATACATGAGTTTTTTAAAAGTAAATAAAAATATTATTAATAATTATGGGTACATCATGTTCTTGCAAATCTATGTTCTCTGTATGCACAGCTGAAGTCACTAGGCATCATACACTCTCTCCAAAATCAGAAAAAAAAACTGAAAAAGATAATTCCTTTATTCAAATTTCAGAAAATACAGATAAGCATTTCATTCTATAATAATATCCCGAGAGGTTTATCATCGTTTACCCTTCTGATGATGAAAATTATGAAGTTCTAAAACAAGAGCTGATGGAAATTAATGAAAATTGCTCAATAGTTATATAAGAATATAAGGATTATACATAAAATTCAATTAATTACTAAGAGTTATCAAGTTAAAGGCCATGCTCATTCAATGACTTTAAGTTATGAAGTTTATGGAAATGATATTACTCTATGTTATCAATAAATTAAAATAACCAGTCAAGTATTGTCTCACTTTTCAATTATAACTATTTCTTTAAGAACTTACAAAAATGTGAATAATATTTAAGAAAAGATCACATTTACCATTAAATTTAGATTATAACATAAAAAAAAACAAACTAGATGTTAATTTATTAATGGTCAATTTAATATAATCCAATAAATTATAAATTGAATTTTATATCTCTCATTTCTCAGAAAAGGTTGAGATTTATAATAATACAAAAATGTGTTACTTTTTTGTTTCTAAAACACAGTTATTAATTCTTTCTCTTTAACAGAACCAAAAAAAATGATTTGAATTCAATAATCAATAAAATATTACTTTTATAAATTATATAATAAAAATTTATTGTTATTTGTTAATGAAACAACTTAAAAGTTAAGCAAAAAAGAGTTATTATGACAATTAAAAATAAAAATCTCATTTCAGATCCTATACTTTTTAATCTGATTAGGAATCTATTGTAGATAAGTTAAATACGTCAACTGTTAAAATATTTAATGAAATGCTATATGCTAAATCAAAGTTAATTGAATTGGAATCTGATTTTTAGATTAGGCAAAAATCATATGAAATAGAAAAACAAAAAAAAATTTTGTAAATGAAATAAGAATAACTAAAAAATGAATAAATGCAAAGTAAAGGTAAACCAAAAATCAATAAGACTCAACAAATATAGGAAATGATCAATAATTATATGGAAGCATCCAAAAATAGTAAATTTGGAGATTTATTACTTAATAAAGAAAAGAATATACAATAAGAATTAACTTCTAATATTATATAAACCAATTTGAATAATCATGAGAATAATGAACCAGAAAGAATAGCTACATAGACTTTAGAAAGTACTAAGATGTACAATGAGTAAAGTGTTACAAGAAAATCTAATTCTTATATTCCAATTCATGAAAGAGTTTAATTTATAGTATAAACAAAAAATGACAAAATTTAAGAATAGAAAAAATAATAATAATAAGAAATTGAAGAATATTATACAAGTTTACCATTTCAACCTTTAAGCGCAAAATCATCGAATATTAAATTTACTTAATAAGATACAGATGCCTTTGTAAATAATCAGCTTAAGTGGAATCAAGAAAGAGATAAATGGAGATATGAATAATAATTGAAGAAGGAAAATGATACACCTCAATATTCTTATAGACCAACAATAAGTCCTTGGCCTGTTAAATAATCAAGTGTAAAAAGGAAGCATTCAAAATCAATTAATTTATCATTCTTTTAGTCTACAGCTCTTAAGACTGAGACTTCACCGAATAAAAATTAAAAGTCATCATTTATTTTTTAAACAGACTTAAGAATAGCAAAAAGAAAGGAAAAAGACTAAAAGAAATTAAAAAAGTGATCAAAATTTCTAAAACTTTTTTTTATGTGATTTATTTTTAATTTTATAAATATTTTTAATTTGTGATAATAAACATTAATCAAAAATTAATATATAGCTTCAATTTTATTATTTTTAGTAATAAATACTGCATTTATTAATTCATCTCATGATGGGTTTTTGATAATTATTATATTGATATGTAACAATATAACAAATAAATTAATGTATATACTAATTATATTCAATTAATTTTTATTGATTATTTCATCATGACAATTATAAATTTATTATAGAGATAGCTATGAAATTTAAGGTGTAATTTAAATATGATTTTTATTACTTACCTGTATATTATTAGATTGATTCATTATTCCCACCCAATTATAATATCTATTAAGTTAGATCTTTTTTTTTAGTATTTTTGATGCTTGAAAAATGTTGTCTAATACAGATATATTTTGGAATGTGTTTGATCTTTATTCTAAATAAGATACTTTGCTTTTTTAATGATTCTAAACTTAATTCATGACATTACTAGTTTTATAAAAGAGTCAAGAAGAAATATATTTCACAGTAGATAAAAAGGTCTTTAATTAAAAATCTAATTGTATATAAATATTTCATAGTGGAGTCATTATGAATTCACGAGGATTTTTGGTTTTGAGTGAAAGTAAATGTTATTCAAATTTATTTTTTCTAAGAATCTTCTTTACATAATAGAGCTGTGGCCTAATGTATTATTATAAATATCATACCTATTCCATTCATTAATTTTACACTACCTTTTAAATTAAATTTTTCAGGTCCATGATGCAAATTACTTGCAATGTAGTTACTCTTATTAATATAGTGTCTATAGGGTAGATCTAAATGTTATTTCTAACCTTATCTATTTTAGTATTCTACATTATCTTGTACAAAAGAGACTTTCTTATTTTTAGAATGAATATTATGACAAATGATGAGTCCCATCGATTTATTGGCTAAAATTATCTTATTTAATTGAATCATATTATAGAAGCATTTTATATGGTTATAAATATAAGTTTAATAAAAATATGTGAAAATAAATCTTATTTGAAATAAAATGTATTTATAATTGATCTTATCCATTCATATTAATTTGAAATAAGACCAAAACCTGATATTTTGTCAGACCTTTATCTACTCTTTAAGTTTTTGGTCAGTGATAAATTGAATAAGTAACACAAAAATTTGATAAGGACTCACAAAGCATTCCTATTTATAAAAGACTTTGCAATGAATTCGCATTCATATGAGACTCCTTATTTATTATTTCAATCATATTTTTATATTATATATAGACGATTGTCAAAATAAAATTATTTCCAAAAGCATTTCTTTGTAATTTTTAAAAATTCAAAAATTAATGGAAAATTGCCACATCTTAGGCCAAAGGTATATGCTTAAGTTCATTATTATTACTGAATAAATGAAAATATAGTCCTATATATTTTTGATAAAAAATAAACCATAGTTTTATTCTTGAATTAATATAAAAGTATCATCTATAATATGTATTATTAGTAAAAACATGAATTAACTCTTATTTTCGTTAAATAATGAAGTTTAGAATACTCCTATAGTGATTAGAATTTAAAACCATTACTATATTTTTTTAAGAGTTAATAGAGAATTAAATTATCTATTAGTTGATTTGCTTAGAAGGAAATCACAAATGAATTATTGAATTATATAAATTACTGCTTGTAAACAACATCCATGTTATATTGCTGACTAGTTTTATGCTCAAAAAATAAAATAAATACAATAAGAAATTCCTAAATTATTCTAATTGTAATAATTATTAACATATAATTATATATTATTGAGAAATTATATAAATTTAATTAAAAGAGGTAATACTTCTATATATATTATAATTTTTAATTTGAAAAGAAACAATAAAGTATTAAGTCTATTTATAATGATAAGAATTAGATTTAATATGATGTTAAATCACTTATTCATAAATAAAAATTAAATGTTAAATCCAACTAGTGCAAATAAACTTTCAACATCTAATTAGGCTCTTTCTAAATCTGTTCATTTTTCTCTTGGTAATTCACAAGTACCTGTGAGTTTTAGTGATGTGAAAGCAGTTTCTGGTATATCAAAATCAGCAATTGATCATCCATAAGTTGGATAAGTTACAGGAATTGATTGTGGAATTCACATGAAACAATTAAAAGGATTTTGTATAGAATAGAAATGTATTCATTAAAGAAGAAAATTGTGTGTTGGGTATTTGATAAAGTCATATATGTTAGATGTTTATGGTAACATACTTGTGTTCATAAAGTATAAGTACCTGAATTTGTTAAATTATTAACAGATAAATTAGCAATAGCTGAATTTGACTTTTTTGATAAAGTATTGAAAGTTGTAAAGAAAGATCATTTATAAAATGAAATTGATGAAATGTTCTTGAAAATAAAAATGGATTTTGATAATCATCTTAATGATTTATATTCCTAATTTATGTATTGGACTAAACATGGAATGGGAGAAGTAATTAAAAAAGGATTTTTAGCTGATTTTTTATTGGATGATAATGTAATTGAATAAATCATGGATTTAGTATTAAAAGGGAGAGGTATATTATTTTATATATTAAAATATATTAGCAATGGAAGCTGAAGATGAAACTATATAAACATGTGTAGAATTAATTAATGCAGATCCTTAAGAAATTAAATTATTACCATAATAATTATAAACTACACTTGTTGAATGTGAAGAAGTAATTCGTTAAACTTTACATTAACTAGAACAAAATTTAATAACATTTAAATAATCTCCATTTGATTTTAAGAATGTTAAAGTAAAATATTATAATAAATAATTTTAAGGAAGGTGTGGAAATACCAAGATTAAGAATACCAGGAACATAAGGCAATATATAAGGTGGAGGAGGTTTTGGATTTGGTGGTGGATTTAATTAAATTCCATAAACTAATTTTATAGGAACAGCTAGTTAATTACAAAGAACTAGTGTACCACCTACAACTACCCATTTTCAAAATAGATTTGCCTCTGGTTTAGCATCTTAATTAAATGCTAAGTTATTTATTGATGCTAGAGACTTACATTAAAGTTAGGTTTGGGCTGTATGTAAGATTAGTCCATAAGTGATTGCTACAGGAGATTGGTAAGGTAATATAAAGATTATTGGATTAACAATGGAAGGATAATATTAATTTATGTAATCTTTAAATCATGGAAAGAATGTTTATTCTTTATTATTATCAGATACAACTACTCTTATATCTGCTGGTTAAAATTAAAAAGATGAATGGACAATAAAAATTTGGGATTTAGAAAGATCTTAATTAATTAAGGAATTGAAAGGACATATAAATTATATATTTTCATTAACTTAACCTGTTCCAGGTACATTAGTATCATGTTCATATGATGAAACTGTTAGGGTTTGGAATATATAAAATGGATAATGCATAAAAGTTTTCAAAGAATTTAAGACATCTTTTAATGATTTGTTATCTTGGAATCAAGAAGAAGTTATATGTTGTTCAGATGATAAAGCTATTAGATTATTAAATATTTAGACTGGAGAAATGAAAATGTAATTATTTGATTCTTGTTTTGTAAATGGAATAGCAAGAGTATCTTAAAATGAAATAGCTATTGGTAATTTTAAAGGAGAAATCCTTATAATAAATGTGACTGAATAAAAAATAGTGAGAAGAATGGGTTCACATAAGAATTTTGTATGGAGAATTAAAGTATATAATTATTGTATAATTATAGGTTATAGATAAAGATTTGATTGCTTCTGCTTCTTTTGATAAAACAATTAAGATTTGGGAATGGTAAAGTGGACAATTAGTTGCCAGTTTAGAAGGACATACAGATATTGTTAGATCTATTGAACTTATCGAAGAAATTGGATTTTTAGTAAGTACTAGTGATGATAAATCTATAAAAGTTTGGAGATTAATTTGAATATATTAAAATAAAGAGCAATAAATTTTTATATTTATATATATATATTTAACTTATCAACTAAAGATATTTTCTAAAAATGTTTTCTTTTTCTCTTATGGTTATTATTACTTCTAAATTTATACTGGTTTAGATTGTGGGGACTTAAATTAAATTAAAAATAGATACAAATCTTCTTGGTTGACTGACAGGTCTGCCTTAATAAGGAGCATGATTATAAACTGGAGCTACTCTAGATGGAACAAAACTTGGTTGAACATATGATTAAGCAACATATGGTTATTAAACTGGAGCAACATATTAAGGAATAGGTGCAACATATTAAGGAACTTATTGAACAACAGATTAAACAACTGGTTGAACAACTGGTTAAGCAACAACTTATTATTAATGTACCACTTATCTTTCAACTGGATAATATTCTACTCTATCTTAATATCTATCTACAGGTACATATTCTATTGTTGTTATTTCATATTATTACCTGTAACTTTATCATAAAATACTTATGGAACATATTCTGTTTAATATTCCACAGCTTAATATTCTGTTACATATTTCTCTCTTGGTACTTAGATTCTTTATCTAACTTCTTCATATTCAATCACAGATTTCTCGTATGGAATATATCTAAAAAAAATATTTGAATTTTAATTCTTACTCAATTCTGCTTTCACCCTTTATTACTTATTAAGCTGGTTAGACAGCAACTGGTTGCACTGCCATTGGTTAAACAATTGGTTAAACTGCAACTGGTTAAGGAACATATTAGACAGGTGCAGCAACAACAGATTATTAAATAGGATAGTATGATGGACTAGCAAATTGCATTGGTGGAGCATATGTTCTTGGTGGTGAATATGCAACTGGCACTTGAGGGGCATTTTAAACTGGTTGAGGAGGTCTTTAGGAAGGATGATTGCTCATATTTTTGAATATTAATATTAATTATTTCAAATGTCATCGTTAATTATTTATAACTATACTCTGTTAATTCATATTATAATTATATTATTTATACATTTCTTATATCAATTTGATTATAAAAATAGATTAACATTTTCATTTTAATCAAACATAAATATTTTATTTATAATCATAATTCAATTATTCGATTATCTATCTAATTATTTATTTTTTTATTTAATAGAATTACAATTGAAATTATTTATTTTTAAAATTATATGTCTGCATTAAGAGTTGTATTGTTAGGAGTTCTGGGACATGGAAAAACATTTCTTTTTAATAAAATAACCGAAGCAAATGAGCCTGTAATTTTTGGAGGAAAATCAGTTACAAAATAAATTGTAATTGGCTAAGCTGCACATGGAGAATTTGAAATTGTAGATACACCTGGATTTGATGCAATTGAAGATAAGTTATTACATGCTGCTGGTGTGATTGCAGCATTAGCTTAAGGAGATGTCAATAGAATACTTGTTGTTGTTAAATGTGAAAGAACAGATTTAATGATAAAAAATATCAAAAAGATAATAGGATCTATTTAGAGGTATAAAGATTTAATCACTATTATCGTTTCTTATTGGGACGAAAAATAAAGAAACATTATTAAAAATAATAAGAGTGTAGAGGATTAATAAAAATAAGAATTGGAAGCAAAGTAGGACATTGAATAAGATATTAAAAACAATTTTAATATTAAATCAGTTATATTTACCTCATTTGATGATGATCCTATAAATATCACAAATATGATATTACATATTATTCTTTAATCACGATTTACTAAAATTAATTTATAAGAATCTGAAATTTATAGCTAATTTGATTTATTAAGTTTAGATGAGGAATCAGAAATGGAATTTAATAAATCTATTAATAAAATAAAGAATGGGTTTAGGAGAATCTCAAAATCATTCTTAAAGTATATAGAAAATTAAAAACTAGATGAACCTTATTTAATAGATAAATTACATTACTTATCATTAGTAATTAAAGACATAGCAAATTAAAAAATTGAAGAT